AAATGTTCAAAGAATGTGCAGCATGGAATATTTTATTAATCCAGCAAAAATATTTAGAATAATTGAAATCCAGCCACCCGGGGCAAATAAAAAACGACCTAGAATAGCCCCCATTAACCATGTTTAAATACATAATAAGTTGTCAAATAAGCTATCAAACACATTAAATTGTCAAATAATATGTGGTCTTGACTGTTGTGAACTATTATAATGGTCATGTGAATTGTGTGATCTCATATTGGATGATTAATATGCTTCATAAGAAGTGCCTGTTTTATCAAATATCCCAAGGGGAGGAAAATTGATTTTGCCCCTTTAGTTCATTTTAAACATATTCAGACCACACGCAGGGTGTAATTTTCTTGATATCTTAGCGATATATTTGTTTTAGGTCATGTTTAGTCTGACACCAAAGTATCTTACAAACTTAACATATAACATTTTATCAGCATGACTTTTATTTTTCTGAAGATCTCTGCATCTGTTGGATTCTCTTACTCAGTCATATCTGATCATTAGCTTTGAGTCTCATACTCTGGTATCACATCTAATGAAGCATTAAAGCATCCCCTATGACATCACACAATCCCATGATCAATTTTCTAAATAGTAAAAGCATTTAACAACATATTCAAGTTAACATTTTAACGTGTTTGGTAATCTATGAGGGTTTATTATGTTTGTTAACATGGTTAATTAGAGCCATTCTCTCAATTGCTTTCTCTCATTTCCTATCTAATATTTCTGTTAAACTAAATGTTTTTGATGAATTAATAAGACATTTTATGCTGCACATTCTGTGAAAATTTCATTAGAATATATTGAAAATAAAGAAATTAGAGAGATATTATGAGAACTTTATGATCAACCCTCGTATTTTCAATAAAAGGTAAAAAATAAAAGACCCTTTTCACTTTCACCGACTTCGACAACAGAATCCCGATGCCGATTTAATTACTATAAATCGATACGAGTAATTGTATATTTTCAAAATTTATTTTTTGAGTCTGTTGTCGAAATAGGTGATAGTAATAAAAAAAAGATTTATTGGTCAAAATGATGTCACTGTTCGAATTAACGATATATGGATTGCTATGAAGTTTATGAATCAGTAGGAGACAATAGTGTTTAAATAAGCTGACTTGATTATATGGAGGCTTGTGATATGACAAATCAGACTTTATTATGTACTTGATATGATACATTAATATTATATTGGCATAATAGTGGGGGACTTATGGATCTGCAATTACTATTTGGATGTCATGTGAAGAAACAGAGCAAAACGTTTCCGCTTTTTTTGTTAGTCGGTGAATGATGATGGCTTTGTGGGTTAATTTCTGGCACAATATTCTCAAATGCCGGTCTATAGTATTTTTCCTAATCAATATTTTTGAATATTGAATTAATTCCATTCCTCAATGGTCCTCAATTGTCACTTGAAGTCTCGTTTTAAGGAGATCTGTAGTTTTAAGCATGACAAAAACTTTTGATTTGCACAACATATTCAATGCGGAATATGCCATACTCATCTGCGGATTATGCTATATACCGCAGATGAGTAGGCCTATGTCATATTCACTCGTATCACAAATACCGCAAAACCATGAATATATGCCGTATTCCGCGTAGCACTATTAACCTTACATAGAGCTAGAGATATCATTAAATCGATTTTATCGAAAATTTCCTATCGTTTTGATACCATAAACAATTTTTGTTGACCTTCTTTCCAGACGGCATATCTCAAAATCGGTAAGAGTAATCAAAAACTAATGGCACATTTTCAAATTTTCAAATAATTGGCGAAATGTTGAAAATATAAAGTTTGACCTGGATGTTGACCTTTGACCTAGATAATAAGTTTACATAATTTCCCATCATTCCAGGCACATTCCGAAAGCTCTCCCCAATAGTTTTACTTAGTTGTAAAGGTTCCTGTAACAGTCGAGAGTAGGTAAATAATCCCGGGGGCTCATAACATAACATGTTCATGACGTTCTCTTAGAAACGCGTAGCTTAACTTTACTTATGTCCCTAGGATAATCATTGAATAAGCACCGATATGGCACCTTGCTCGGGATATGATCGAGAACAGGCCTAGGTAAAACCCAAGTCCTCCATTTGCAACTTCATTAATTGTGGCCGGTATCCCTTTAAAACGTGGTCGCGTGGTAGGGTAGTGTGACATGGCTTGCACAATTTGATATCTTCTAAAACAGGTAAAATCACCGTGTACTATAGATATATGTTTTGGGATTTTAGCCGTCGTGGCTCGTCTTTACCACTGCCATTTAAAATTGGTACGATCATTACGTGTAGGGTGATGTTTCAAGATCCATAAATTAATAGCGAAGTTGTTTATGTCAAAGTGCAAAAATGAAGGAAATGTATAAATTCCCCCAAATGATAAAATGAAATTCTTAAGATTTCCTCTAAGATATTATACACTTTGGGGAGAAAATTGAGATGACAAGGAATGATAAGCCCAAAATATTCTGAAATTGAAAGAATCATTGTCGCTGGTGCTGCTGTAATAATCAATGTGTAATCGATGGGTTGTACCTAATACCGATCTATATTGCCGTTTATTTAGGATGTATTTTAAAAAACGCACTGTGCATGTATTTAGGTGAATAATTATTTTTTCTTTCAAATATATTGGCATTTACCGGTGCTACAGAAACTATTGACCACCAGGAATTAGCGATTATCCAAATTCTATTTGTATATAATGTGCGTCAATAAAGTTCACGTTGAATCCGCGTGAATGTAGAAAACATATGGTCTGATACCCCAATCCAAGCGTGTGCAAAAATGAAATTCACGTGGCATCCAACTGTTTGGTATATAACGGCTTCAATGCTATAATATATCAAATTGTATTAATCAAATTAAATCTGTTAAATAGGTCAAGACACTTTAAGGAATATCAGTTGAGTATATCGGGAAAAGATATGCTACTGTAAATATCAACGAAGTAGAAATGTTCCTTTTGAAGATCTATTACTTATAGAAAGTAAAACAAATTGTTGAGACTTAGATAGAAAGTAATCTAGACATATAAGTAATGATTTTATATTCGTAAAAGAAATAACATCTTATGATACTCCAACGGAATTCAACACTGCCTCTCATTACAAGGGGTCAAAAAAGTAAATATTTTCATTCGTTTCAAGACGTTATAGTGTAAGCATAATTTCAATGTTATATCTGGTGGTTAAATTAGTGTAATAACATAAATGTGCTTATTATATTTTGTTTATTTTTTCGACCAGGTCTTGGTTGTTGTTTTATTAACAACTGAGCAATATATAACTAGGGGCAGAATAGTTTCAGCCAAAGATATAGTAAGGCAATGAAGAGTAATACATCCTCCTTTATTGATAGTTGATCCCCGACAATAGCAGTCCAAATCTCAAATTTATAATTAGGAAACCTAAAACATGCACTCAAAATGTATTTATATAATCTTCTGTAGCAGTATGTACTCCAAATTGTAAAAAGGGGGATTTCGTTTTTGACCCCTGCTAATGACACATATTATTCAAAGTCCGAAGTATATTGAACGGCTACAATAAAAAATAATACTGGACATGTGTAGGTATGTATATATTAGGGCAAATATCGCTGCACTATATTGTGTTACCAGCTCTTTAATTAGGCGTCTTAGGAATTTCATACCATGGACTAAAGCCTATGTGACCCCTCTAGCGTAGCTAGGATGAGGCAGAGACGCGTGCACTTGCCACATCCTTTGAGAAAGATTCGTCTAGCAATGATGAGTTTTGAATTGTATAACTTTTATAGATTTTTAATCTTAAATCATCATTTTTTATTTAATTATGAACAATCTCTATACGTATGGGTTATCATCGTGTTCTTCTATTGACAGGCAAGCTGGGTAAGGTTTGGAAATATGTTTCGCCTCGTCGCTTTTTTCTTCTTGGCTACGTCACCTCTGCTCTCTTTTTTGGCATGAAGTAAATAATGATGTAACATAACGAATAATGAAGAATTTATATAGATGAATGCATTTTTATTAATCTGATAGCGTGTATAAATCAAGTAATCAATTTACAATTTTGGCCAAAAAATGGCAGTAAGAACAGCAAGAATTCATGTATCAGTTGTATAACTAGGCCTACTTATTAACCTATCCCTGGTGCAACAATTTGGTTATTGCAAATTTGATAAAACATTGTAAACCAATAGATATTAATAAACACAACAAAGACAACTTTACATACTGTGGCACATCGCATATAAGGTGTTCGTGAGGATCTATTCAGTGAATCATTGATGGTGTGCAGATTGTTTTCAAACATGTGTTTTTCATTATTGTTAGTTTATTGAGTGATTGATATAGTACACTGTGTAGATATTTAAAAGTACCACACCAAATACGAAATATTCTAATCAAACCAAACGCGTAGTACATAGCTTATACGTTTTTAAGTGTTGGGTACTGTAGTGAAAATTTCCTTTGGTTTATTCAATAGTGCATTCAGCAGTAAACGTATAATCAAGTATTGAAAAAAGATCTTGATTAACCACTTAAATTAAAATCATAAAAAAATATTATGAAATCATAGCTATTATTTCTTTACTAACATAAATGAACCAGAGGCAGTAGTGTAAATAGAAAACGATCTATGATTATCGTTATTATTATTTGAAATCTAAGTGTCAGAGGCTAGAGTTTTGTATCATAAATCGAAAAACAATCAAATGAGAAAGAAAGTTGTTATTATCGCGGCTACTGACGAGAGAAAAAACTTATTAATGCAAGAGCTGGGAAAACGCGTAAAACCCAATTACAAAAACGACAAAGCAAATTGGATATTTAATCATAATTGTTGTTAATAATGTATGTTTCATCAAACCAAAGTGCAACATGGACATTTAATCTAGGATACGCCATTATTATTGTGAAGTAGAAACGAGTAAACTAAATCGATCACTTTGAGAGTATGAGAGATTAACGGGCCTAGTAGACACTTACTGACTAGACATAATAATACCACCGTGACATTTACAAGGTGGAACCATTAAATAATCCAACCGAGGCCTCAGAAACATGGCATTAAGATATGTAGAGTAAAGCAAACTTGGATTATACTATTAAATAATAATCAGTTTCTCACAATGGTTTTAGTGATGAGAAATAATGAGTGATCAAAAGAAACACAGTGTAAATTAGATTTATAAACATGGATTACCATTGGATCTTTGCTGCTGTTATAATGGCATTAAATTTAAACAAAGGTATGAAAAACGTTTGCATTATTTTTCAGTTTAGAATATAATTACATATTGGTTTGTTCAAAATTATCATAACTCGTGTTCTGTCTTTAGCTTTCTCTGATTTTTGATAATTTGATATATATACATTTGTATCTAGCGTTCCCCTAATTCAATGCTGTTGTTTTTTAGTTTTTACGCTAGAATGTTTTGCATGCCAGAGTGAACTAGAGTGCAATGATGGACAAATGATGACAATGGTGTGCGACAAAAATGAGGTGATTGAAATTTTATATACTAATGCTATATCTGACCTCTTTACGACTTAAGGTGTCACTACGATAATTCATTGAAAAATTCACAAAATTCAAGTTTCAAGTTTAAATTTAGAAAGTACTTGACCTAGACTTACATAAATACCTCAAATATCTCACTATACATACACATTAACTTACTATATACACAACTGGATTTGCCATGGCTTTGTTTTTAAAGTATTAAAAAACACTGTCATACCCGGAAGTGCTATTTACCGTAGTGACACCTTCATGACCCACAAGCCTCTTTTACTTCTGTTGGACCGTTATCCCATCTTTTTCCATACCGCTTTCCCCAACGGCATGGACTAGATGGTCATGATCCCAACCAACACCAACATACACTCATACAATATAAACACGTGTATTTTGATTAAAGGTCCATGTGCAATTTGGCAATTGATTTTAGATGATCATACAGTATCTTTCACCATGAGTACTTTCTGGCCATCAATACAGTTGTTTTTATTAAAACAATATGTTTTCTTTCAAGTTAAGTCCCCGGCCCATGATAGTAAAATATCATTCTAACTCTTTGAAAAATTATTGATTAGGACCTCACCTTTGGCACTTTTTTAAGAATGTTAGGCTCATTGTCTAAAAAGAGAATCTTGTTTTTCTCAATTTAAACATATCAAAAATCTCCTCTACACTAAATTAACAATTTCTGAAAAGGGGATGGGTATTGAAATGCGAAAGTTAAAAACCACATATCCCATGTTATTTGCCCATAGGGAAAAAACTCGCGCTATCCATTGTTTTGTGCATAATTTTGGTCATCGAAAATTGATATCTTCCAAACTAGACTTTCAATACCATTCTATATTTGAAGATGTTTTAGACTCCTTGTTGAATGATCTTTTCATGCAATAAAAATATAAAAAGAAGATCCTCTTTTGAGTAAATAGGTTCAATATTTAGAAAAAAAAATTGACATGGTGTCCCTATTCATAATTTTTCGAATTCTTCAATTGATATTTTTATCATCATGGGTACTTCACTTGAAATAAAACATATTGTTTTAATAAAACCCACTGTGTTTATGCCCAGAAAGTACTCATGGTGAAAGATATGACCATCTAAAATCACTTACCATACTGCACATGGTCTTTTAATGATATTTCTTTGCATTTCAACGGATTTAATTTTATTAAAAAAAGAATTTTAGACATTGTAGCTAGAGAAGAGACATCTCTTGCTCATTATACATGTACTTGTACTCCTTAACAATAAACATTAACGATCATTTCCCTCGGTGATTCTTCGATGACAGAAAAGTAAATTAGGTTGTATACCCAATTATGGGAACATTTAATTTGAACAATGTTGTCATAAATTATACATTGTCGGGACAGAAGAATATTATCAAGCCATTTTCATCATAAACCCTTTTAAGAGCATGTCAATGAAATTCAATTGAACCTTTTTGGCAAATTCAAACAACATGTTTTAAAGCATATTTAGACTTATTTTAAAACTCATTGTTCATATAATACAATGGTACATATCACTGTAATCAATATACCTGAATCAAGTTTAAGTCTAATGAAGTATCTTTCCAAAGTGGAATGATACAATGTTTAAGTAAACAATCAACACTAAGAACAGGTCAATTATAACATTTTCTTATTGACCTCATTTAGCCTTACATACACCCACGTCTTTTATTCGTCATTTTGAATTATAAGAACTAATGGATTAAGCCTGGGGATAGTATAGTCGATTCTTTATGTTACATATGTTATATCAAGTTTGAAAAAAGAGAAAATTTTCATCCAAGAGATAATCTATAATATCTTATAAATAGCTATAACAAAACAAAAGTACGAAATCTAACCATGAGTGACGATTATTTTGTTCGTGTGTTACCTGGCACCTTGGTAATTATAATATTGATTATATTTACAGGTTTGTGGCTCAATAAGAAACTCCGATAATGATGCGTTTATTGTGTGGAAGGGTTGCATTCCCCTAAAGAAGTGTCCAGAAAAAAATATTAACAAACTTATATGTTGCTCCAAAGCTCTATGTAACAACGATGACTCTAACCCTACCCAGATGTCTAACGCTCACAGAAATGTTCAATTAAACTTTGACAGAACTATGCAAAATGGGACTTTGAATCGTTTTTCGAAAACAGAAAATGAACAACATGAAGAATTTGGAAGTGTTACCGAAACGAAACGGATAAAAAGAGGTGCAAAGTCGAAAGTTAAATCATTGTCGAAGGACGAAGATGACGACAAGAGTAAAGACAAAGAGGACGAGTCTAAAGATAAATCGACTGGGGACAAAGACGATGACAAAGGTAAGGGTAAAGGGGACAAGTCCGAAGATGAAGGTAAAGATAAATCGTCGAAGGACGAAGATGATGACAAAATTAAAGACAAAGGGGACAAGTCTAAAGATAAATCGACTGAGCACAAAGGTGACGAAAAAAGTAAAGGTAAAGGGGACAAGTCCGAAGATAAATTGTCTATGGACAAAGATGATGATAAAAGTAAAGACAAAGGGGACAAGTCCGAAGATAAATCGTCGAAGGACAAAGATGACGACAAAAGCAAAGACAATGGGGAAAAGGCTAAAGATAAATCGACCGAGGACAAAGAGGACGACACAAGTGAAGGTAAAGGCGACAAGTCCAAAGATAAATCAACCGAGGACAAAGATGACGACAAGAGTAAAGACAAAGGCGACAAGTCTGAAGATAAATCGACCGAGGACAAAGAGGACGACAAAAGTAAAGGTAAAGGGGACAAGTCTAAAGTTAAATCGACCGAGGAAAAAGATGACGTCAAAAGTAAAGACAAAGGCGATAAGTCTGAAGATAAATCGACCGAGGACAAAGAGGACGACAAAACTGAAAGTAAAGGGGACAAGTCTGGAGATAAATCGTCTAAGGACAAAGATGTCGACAAAAGTAAAGACAAGGGGGAAAAGGCTAAAGATAAATCGACGGAGGACAAAGATGACGACAAGGGTAAAGGTAAAGGGGACAAGTCGGAAGATAAATCGTCTAAGGACAAAGATGTCGACAAAAGTAAAGACAAGGGGGAAAAGGCTAAAGATAAATCGGCGGAGGACGAAGATGACGACAAGAGTAAAGGTAAAGGGGACAAGTCTGAAGATGAATCGTCTAAGGACGAAGATGACGACAAAGACAAAGGCCACGGGGACAAGTCTAAAGATAAATCCATCGAAGATGAAGATGATGACAAAAGTATAGGTAAAGGGGACAAGTCAGAAGATACATCTACTAAGGTCGAAGATGACTATAAAGGTAAAGGAGAAAAGTCTCAAGATAAATCGTCTAAGGACGAAGATGACAACAAAAGTAAAGGTAAAGGGGTAAAGCCTGATAAATCGCCTGAAGATGAAGATGATGACAAAAGTAAAGGTAAAGGGGACAAGTCTGAAGATAAATCGCCTAAGGACAAAGATGACGACAAAAGTAAAAGTAAAAATGTCAAGCCTGATGAAAAATCGTCTAAGGACGAGGATGACGACAAAGGTAAACATAAATGGGATAAGTCTGGAGATAAATCGACTGAGGACAAAGATGATGACAAAAGTAAAGGTGGCTATTCTAAAGATAAATCCACTGAGGACGAAAACGACGACAAAAGTAAAGGTAAAGGAGACAAATCTGAGGATAAATCAACCAAAGACGACGATGTTTCCAAAAAAGAAAATGGAAAGGGCAAAGAAAGTGGTAAAGGTAACCAAGGTGGGCAAATATGGTTATTAACATACTTACATGATGTATTAATTTATTTGAATTTTATCTTATTTTGTAAGGAAGTCAGCTATTCTATAGAGTGTTGACTGTTATATTCTATTTCCCAAATCCCATTAACGTATTCATCCTATGCTTCAAAAATAGCGTATTTTATTTTCTTGACGTCAGACGATGGATCAATCAGAACGGGTCAAATCAAAAACAACAACAATATTTTCACAGTTACGTTCATCTCTACCGTGATTCTTTGTACGTGTGTTATCTTTATGACGAATGGAAAATTTAAAGGCATATTGTTAAAGGATTATATATGCTAATAAGTCGGTTTTCTCATTATGCCTCATTCATCTTTTTTCTTGATATTTATATGTATCTTTTGATTGCATTCCTATTGATTCTTTTCATATTTACATTGATTATGAATTTCCTTTCAACCTAAACAGAACTCAGGAGTCAATAGCAGAGATTTCCATTTCAAACAACAATTTTGGTATAAGATGACAAACGGAAGGTTGACAGCCTTGCATAATCAATATAATATTATAGAGTAGGATATAACGATCCAAGAAAGATTTGATGGAACATTTTGGATAAAATATTTTAAGTTCGAAACTACATTATTATCAAGAAGAATTGATCGGAACGGTATCTAGAATTTAATTGCTAATTATGACGAATAACTGAATAACACCTGAAGTTTCGCTCATGTAGATTATCAAGAAGCATTGGCGATTTTTTATCATTAAATTATTGAATGGTATTTAATTATTCTTTCACAGGTCTGGAAAATGAGGCAATTTTTTTCTCGGGATTAAATCCGCTGGTTAATACATAAAAATGTATTGATTTTTGTGAATAACCCAATATTAAAGATTTGTGTACTTTGACGTGGCAAATATCAAAGTTACAGTAAATTTCCTGTGTACTCTAAGCGAAAGAATCGGGCAGAAAATTTAACGTGCAAATCTGGAAATTTTCTACTTTACCCCCTCCTCCTAGGGTTGGCCAAGAAATATATGTGGGCTCAAAACCTTTGAGGGACCTCAATAAATTGGCCTTTTTGGCATTACTTGGCCTTTTTAGGCCTTATTTTTTTATTTTAGGCACATTATCAAATTATGGGCCTTAAATTTTCAATATTAATCAACATTATTTTGATTAATGTAGTATGGATATAGATATCCTCAGATTTCTTTAAGATTCCTAATTCATATCTTCTCTGATTGTGCAGATATTGAAGATGTGCATGTGAATAATAAGTAAACTTAATTCTTAAAGGCGTGAATATAAGAAGTAATTCTGAAGCAGTTCCGCACTTCATAAAAAAGCTGAAAACCAAAACTCGGGCCGAGACTTATTGCAATGTCAATGTCATGGCAATGTCATTTCAAAATTTTATCGCAAATGTTTTGATTTGAACAAAGTATTCTCATCATACAAATATACCTTAAGTGCTTCAGATAAAAGCCATATAATACCTCTGTTATCCTCTCACTTTTACTTTCAATGGCGAGGCGGATAGGGAAATAATCAAGGGAATAACATTATTCTTTGATATAGATTAACGACGGTTGTATAGCATTATGGCATTTTGATCATAGGATTTAGAAAATCACCTGCCCTGGCATTATTCATGCAACCAGAGATATTTGTTTGATGTCTCCTGGAGCATGGAAGGACTACTGCTGGTTTAACAGTAGGATCGGTGCAAAACTCACCGTAGATTCTGAATCATGTCTAAATGATACGATGTAACATCCTGTTTATTAACGATTTTAGATAAGTATTTTGTTGAGATGTGAAAAAACAAATTTTTTTAAAAATATCTCTTTTAAAGCTTCGTAGACCTGGCTGCGGAATATTTTACTTGGAGAAGAAAAATTCCAAAATTACTCACTATCTTTATTTTTGGACTTGAGATACCTGACATAACTTAAAAATCCTGACATAACTTAAAATACCTAACACAAAATACTAAAACAAAACATCTGTACATATCGCCATCTTGTTCACTGTTGACATGACTGGTTTAACAGTATGGCATATCGCTAAGTACATGCATATTGGATTTGTACATTTTATTTGGTCAGATTCGTTGAGGGTTTTTCATATTTAAAAGTGCAATAATTAGTGCAGAGGGGCCATTCAACGATCATGGACCAGTGTCAAAATATACAAGTTTGGATATTTATTATTATTTCCCAAAGAAACCCTGATATTCCTCTTGAAACGAGGTGGATCTTAAAAATCTATAAGTGGGACTCCCTTTATAGAAGCTTTGAAATGAATTTAAGCTTTTTAACGCTGAAATTGATAGTCTATCCATACATTTTAAGAAAATAGGTATGTCAAAGAAGATGTTAAGCCAAATGTTGCCCTGATAGCTCAGAAAAAGTTTAAAAAATCAAATTTTCTCTCTACAGGCCTTTAACATCTATGCGTCAAATCCTAATTGTTCTCATATAATAAGAAAAATAAGGTATCCGCTGTTATTAGCATAATGCACAATCTACTTCAGTTTATGGTAAAATGTAATTTGAATAAATATATGGTAATACAAGATATCGTATGATGAGCTTTCGGGAAGTAGAATATGGTTTTTACTGCGATGAAGGACTCATAATTAAAACCCTTCCAAAACATTACAAATATGTATAGTTAATTGAATCTTGGTCATTAAATTCACGGGAAGTTCTTCGTTAATGGATGAATTGTAAATTACATTTCTGCTTGCCCCCGATAAATAAAAAGCCACGGCGAGGTATTTCACTCTACTATACCTTGCATTTAGTGTTCATGAGCAACCCATTTTAGTGGAGTCAGATAAGTGTTCAATTGTACATGCATGATTTCTATAGTTAATATATTGATTTTAAAAAATCAAACAAGCACATTTCTGAAAAATTCTTATTTTAAATATATCTAGCTGTTAAAACTATAAAAAACATATTGTGCCGCATGTTAATTTGTCAATCTTTAACTTAATGGCTAATCATGTTTAAAATAAGAAATTTTCAGAAAAGTAGCTGTTTGATTTCAAATAATCAATATATTAACAATGGAATATACAATATTAGAAAATTCCATAGTTGACTTTTTGAGAAAAGGACACTCTATTATAGTAAAGCCATATTTATAGCGGTCTATAATGGCAACCAATAGGATTATTCAAACGCAAATATCTTTGGAACTAGGTAAAAGAAAAAAGTCAGCCCTTCCTATTTTGAAGATATTCATGTTATTGTAACATACTCGGAGAATGGTCATTATTACTCTAAAACTGTTCTGCAAAAGATCTTTTGAAGATTGATAAATTAACATGGGGCTCAATATATTTTTATCAATTCAATATATTAACGATAGAAATCTGCAATTCTAGAGAATTTCACCGTGGAATTTTTGAGAAAAAGAAACTTTAGAAAAGCCATATTGTTAGCCGTTAATAATGGCAGCCAATGGGGAATTTCCAAAATTCAAATTCAAATATCTTTGGAACTTGGTAAAACAAAAAGATTTTGATTTTTATTTTGAAGATAATTATGTCTTTTATAGTTTTTAACGGCTAAATATAACGAAAATAATAAATTTTCAGAAATGTACCTGTTTGATTCTTTTTAAATCAATATATTAACTATAGAAATCTGCAATACTAGAACATTTCACCTTGGAATTTTTGAGAAAAAGACACCTCAGTAAAGCCATATTGATAGCCGTTTATAATGGCATCCAATGGGGAATTTCCAAAATCCAAACTCAAATATCTTTGGAACTAGGTAAAAGAAAAAAATTTGCCCTTCTTATTTTGAGGATAATCATGTTATTGCAACATACTAGGAGAATTGGCATGATTACTCTAAAACTGTTCTGCAGGGGGTCTTTTGATGATAGATAATTTAACATGCGGCTCAAAATAGGTCTTTTATAGTTTTTAACGGCTAAGAGAAAAAGATGCTTTAGTAAAACCATATTGATAGCCGTTTATATAGTGGCAGCCAATGGGGAAGTTCAAAAATTCAAACGCAAATATCTTTGGAACTAGGTAAAAGAAAAAATGTAACCCTTCTTATTTTGAAGATAATCATGTTATTGTAACATCCTGAAAATATTGGCTTTATTAATCTAAAACTGTTTATCAGGGGATATTTTGAAGATTGATAAATTAACATGGAGCTCAATGTAAATGTCCACAATTTTCAATGCCTGCTATTATCAAATGGGGCCACTTTTCAACACCACTTTGTTAGATATCGAAAATATATGTATTAGTGATACTTATGTCAAAAAATGGTGCTAGTATGTGCATTGTGCAATATTCTAGAGTTTTATTGCCGTAATTGTCTCCACTATTTGGCTTATAATAATGATTTTGTTATTTTTTTTATTTTTCTGTTCCTTATTAATAGTTTATTGGATGCCTGCTAGAATGTTAATAAGGTTCGTTCAAAAATATACTTAACAATACAATTAGACAAACAGAGTATCTTATGCATTTCTAGGGGTTAGGTATAGTAGAGTGTATTTAAAAGCCATAGGTTGACCAGTGCGATAATTAGATAGATCTGAAGATGACTAGAATTCTACTACTGGCCATTCCACTGTCTTTCTTGGTACTTTCAGACAATGCCAAAGACAACTGGGGGGAATGGGGCAGTTGGAGTGCTTGTACGAGAACATGTGGCAAAGGAAAGCGGACTCGAACTCGGGATTGCCCATCGGTAACTGAAATAGGAAAAAGTGGAAAGACAAAAGCTAACTGCAAAGGAAATGACTATGAAACCGTAAAATGTGATTACGGCAAATGCAAATGTGAGTTTTCTATTTCCTTCCGTTTGTTTACATTGCTAAATTACACATTTTTTCGTATTAAAACCCTGTTATTGACCAATTTTCTTAATATTAAGCTGTCAATTTCCAATTATAAATGATCGAACTGGAATGAATTATAGAACGTCGGAAATAAAATAAATGACACAGGAGAGATAGGCCCGTAAGACATTTTTCTCTAAGGGGGTGCGGTTTTTAATAAAGAGAAAATAAAATTGTCATTTTTTCCGCGTAAATCAAATCGCGTAAGTCAGAGGGGAGTCAGTTGGGAGTCAGTTACTCTCTATATTAAGGCCACTCAGCCTATTTTGTAGTATTTTATTGTTTTTAGACTAAATCTTGTATGAGCAATTTGGAGAAACATTGGAATAGGGAGGGTGTGCTAGAAGGCAATAGAATCAATTTAAAGAAACTCTGATTTCTTAATCATTTTCTTCTTAGAGGAGCGAGTGGGCAGCACAGGAAATTTTACTAACTGAGCACTTTTAATGTGTTTGTTTGAGTAAATGAATGCTTTAGTTTTTGGGATGCTGTGTCAGAATTATTTATGATTTCATTATGTCACTTGGTGATTTCTGGGCACTTTTAAAGTGTTTAAAATTAACAAATGCAACTTCCAAACATTCCCAATTGTTTTGTGGGGGGGTGAGGAGTAGGGCTGGGGTGCCAGAGGGGGAGCAAGTGCTTGTCCCCATATACATTGACCATACAAAGGTGCTATTTGATGAAGTCTGGGCACCTTAAATGTGTCTGAGAGAATACATGAAATAAATTCAGAATTTTTGTCAATTGTTCTTTTTTTCACACACACACCAGGAGAATGGAAAAACATAGGAATAATAATTAAACACAATCGTTAATTGTTTCCTAGCGTAAACACAATCATTATATACACCCCTGCACTTTGATCAACTGATATCGCTAGATTATCAATTTCCTTTAATTATTGATATTTATTGGACGCTACCTAAACATCAGTATAATAGAATCTAATCATCTAAGCTCAGCATCAATTCTATAAATCCTAAAGTTTATGGCTTTGTGCAGTGAGATGTACAATATCTGGGTTAATAAACAAATGATGTCAGAGTGAAGGGTTCACCATTAATCTTTACGATATAATGTATTATCCGTGTGTAAGGTTGTTGTTAAATGTGTCCCTATTGAGACAGGAAATAAATGGTTTTTATCTTTGATTCCTGCTTAATATACTCCTTGCGAGTGTATCTATTAATCAAGACATTATATTTTATAAAAGGAGGAATCTTTTTTGATTCTCTAAAAATCATATGAAGAAAATAAGGAAAACCTGTAGCAGACATCTACTGGCATGTAAAGTTTTCATATAGCAGTATATACGAGGGTTGTCCCAGAAGTCCCCTCGTATAGCATTGTATTTTCGTGATGACATGCAGACCTATACAACATTTGGAAATGAAAACGTTGCAAAATAAGTTTGATTCTGATGGGGGCAGAAAAGGGGGTCTGTTGGGACGGTACCTTTTTGTCTGACAAAAATTAAGCACGAATCAATATGCTTTAGGCTAATACTGATTTGTGACAGTCCTTGACTTATTAATTTTTTTAAAGTAATTCAAATTCAACCAGAAAACATTAACGCCAAAGCGTCCTTCTACCACTTTTTCAGTTATAGCAAAAATCGTAAAATAGCATATAAACACAAATAACAAAATGGTCGCTCACTAGCCATCAGATAATATGCTTCTAAGCAGGCACATATGAAATCTCAACAAAATCGCAACCACTTAAAAAATGGCCGCCTTCTAGCCAAAGTGTCATAAGACAGTGTGTGAGTATTCGCATATCAAACAAAAACGCTCTATTACATTTTGAATTATCGTAAAAAACGCAAAATGACACACGTCGCCCGCTCTGCCATTTTTCGAGTTAAAAACGTAAAATAATACACGTAAAAATAGAAGCCACTTTTCAAAAATGGCCACCTTTTGCCCAAAGTGTCACTTGACAGTGTACCATGCTCAAATATGAACGAAATCGCTCCACTACTGTTCAAGTTACAGCAAAAATCGTAAAATAGCATGTAAAAACGGCTGCCATATCTTTAAGATGGCTGTCATGTGTTTCTTAAATATCGACATTTCTAGCTTTATTAATGTCCTATATTACTTTTTGAATTTAAAACATATTACTAATTACAATTTATATATTGTACCTAAATTACTTAGTCGGCACCACTAAAATGGCCGCCATTTTTAAACGAGCGGCCATTTTGAAAATCGACTTTCGAGCAGAACTTCTACCCCCATAGGGTATATGTGTACAAAATATGAACAAAATCAGGTCGACGTTATTTGAGTGATCGCCTGGACGGACGGACGTAGGCGTTCCCTATATTCCTCCGAACTCCGTTCGATGGGATAATCATAAACCTGTATGCACTCGTAAGTGTAATGCCCAGGGTTCAAATCGGAAATAACTCCTTACACTTGACACGCATATAAAGGCCCGGTCACACCGCCCGGACGTTGCTGGAGCGTTCCTTGAACGTTGAAAAAAATCATCAACGCTCGTCAACGCGCACAAAATGGGGAAAAAAACAAAAACACGGGCGTTGCCCAAACATAAATAGTATCATTCATAATTTTCACGTTGCGTCAAGTTTTTGCTTAATTTAACTTTGCTTAGTACTTTTATATAGAGTGGCTGGTATTTTGTGTTCTGACTGACCAGAAAGTGATAATACTTGCATAACTATGTGTTAATATACAATTTCGAATGATATGTTATATCTGCAAATTGCTTTAATCATGTGTAGCATTATCTCTTTCAAGTTATTTCAAAGAAATATATGAAATTTGAGCTGAGCCAAATATCACAGTCACTTTATTCACAAAATATAATGCATCAAATAATTTTGCAGTGTTCCGGGGTGATAGAGAACGATATGGAGAATTCCGTGCCGGAGAGAGAGATAATCGACTTGTAGGCTCTGTAATCAGGACAACTATGAAAGAAGATACAATACAGTGTGCAATGGAGTGCATAACACAAGAGGGCTGCAAATCTTTCAACTTTGAGAAATCAGGGTCCGAAAATTCTAAAAATTCCAAAGACCCATCAAAAAAGCCCTCAAAGGGCAAAATCAAAACGGTCAAGACTGCTGGTGAATCTTATAAGGTTCACACTTTAAGCGACGAAGTAGTAACTAGCATATGTGAACTTAATTCCAAAAGATATGAGGAAGGAGGAAACCTTGTGAAACAAAATAATTTTTATTATTATGAGATACCCATAATGTGACGACATAATTGTTGAAAAACTAGGTCATTTTATTTACCTGTATAATGGTCAGTACGTGTTAAAATGGTCTACTTTATTCAAGGAGGAATGTTTTAATGAAATTGACCCTAGAGAAATTTTGAATCAAACAACATGGGCGAATTACATACCAAAGTAATCTGTATATAGGATGTAAACTACATAGTATTATATATTATTTTGAATTTGTAGCTGTAAAAATCTATATATTTGTTAAAATAACACTCGAATATATGTAGATAGGATAACATGTTGTCGATGTCTTCGTAATTAATATTTATGGAGTATAAGTTTCTAAACCTGCGTCAGTACTTGAAGCAGATTTCTAATTAGTGACGACGGGACTGACATCAGTCTTTCCATCGATTAAATATGATCCAATGATTTCCAAATGTTTAAACAGCCATCGAACTTGCATCATCAACTGACCCGGATAAACTTTCTTATGTTCTTTATGAATCGGTAAAAAAGCTTGAAAAATATAATACTCATACAGGTCCAGTAAAGTGTAAAAATGAAAAAGGTGCTTGCAACATTTTATCATTTTAAGGTTAAGCATTCACTTGCTTCATGCATGTACGTGAGCAATATTTCCAACTGTCATATTTACAGGGTGGTATCAACTTTACTGTATCAACTTCACTGATTTAAATGTGCAGCCTTTCCATACAATCCTAAATACTATTACATATAATGGTACATATTTTGAACATCTTGTCGACTTATATTGTACACAATGTAAATATGTTTTAAACATAATAAATTTGAAAAAATGTTCTTACATTTACCTTATGTTTAATTTCTCAACTCTCATCCCATCGTGTAATGAAATAGGACATGAAATCAACTTTGCGTTGAAATGAGATAACAATCTGCAAAAAATGGTAAGACCTCGATGCATCATTTTTTATTCCACATGTGTGGAGTACTTGTGCGCTTGAAATTTAAGCGCTTTTACCTTCCCAGCTTTTAAAATTGTATACTATTTATGTTTCCATCCCGGTTCACCATAGGCTCCCATGGTTTCAAGACGTGAAAATCAGACGTGCTTATTTAATTAAGGCCTCTGGAAAAGGTTAAGCTACGTTGACTTTAATCGTAATGTTACCAAATGTTATCAAAATGTATATTATGTGAAACTTCAACTTGATCTTTCGTATGGAGTGTTGGAAATAATGTGTTTTACAGTCTAATCTGAAATTCTGAAATGGCTGGATTTCAAGAGTAGCTAACATCTTTTTTCGAAAGTCAACTTTTTCAAAACATGTCTCAAACGATTTTTCACAGTTCATGAAAAAAATATTTGGAGGATTTAACATGGGGCCTTTGAGGGTATTCATTTTTTTAATACAATCAACAATGAAACACGTAAACATTGCAAATATATAGTTTGAATTCGTAATCTATGTTGTAGCGTTAAATATTTGGGTTCCAATATGCATTTGGATTATAATAAAATAATAAAAAATACCAAACGTTTCCAATAGTTGCCAGTGCATTTTGATTATTTTTTGCGGATTTTTTTTTCGTTAGGGTCAAGCTTATTTCTTCATCATTTTTTACCCGATATTAAATATACTTAATTTTTGGCATAAGCAGCTGCAAAATGATGACCCGATCGAATTAAATATATTTTACCTAGTTTAGACTAGATATTGATTGCCATAATTAATTGCCTATAGGTACATTGTACCTAGTTTAGGTGACCTTAGGTCGATAAATCATCCGAAAATCATGAGTTGTGAGCATTTAGAATTGCTTAATATTATGACAATAGGAATCCATAAATAAATAAACAACAGATCTTTAGTCTACATATCATCGTTTATATACAGAGGGGGAGAAACACCAGGGTTCAAAGATGACATACGCTTATAATGTAAATCTGTATTGAGATGACATCGTCGCTGATTGGTCAAAAGTCGGCAAACAAATTACGTCATCAATGGCGGTTTCAAAATTTTCGAAATACACTTCGAATAATATTATTTTCATTTCTGGCGTGTTAACCAATATCATAGCTTCTCATTTCACATCAAGATAAAGAAAGGTGTACGGAATATGCCTATATCAATTAAAACATCCCATCGAAGTGTAGTATTTGATAACTAGCCGATGAAAATTCGAACGAACGAAGGTGGTAAGCAAGAGAGGTAATTATGTCTGTCATCTTTAAACTCTGGGGCTTTCCCTCCTCTTGTTTATATAACTGTTGATACATTATTGTTACATTTATTGTGGGACAATTTAGAAAGTTTGTACTTGCATGCATTTCTCTTACATTAAATTGCTCTAAAAGTACTCATATAATTGATCTAAATGTACTGATACAATTTAAATATATTCATTGATTTATACCTAGACTTAGTACAAACTGACTCAATGAATCTTTTGAGATTTAGTCAAAACACATGGATTGTTATATCAAAAATCAATTTTGTTTATTTGTACATGCGATACCAAACAAGTGCTTATATTTTTTCTGCCATTTCTTTGAACTTGTTTTGGCATAAATGATTGATTTATACATATACATAGTAAATATATACTTAACTTTGATAGAATACACTTTATTGACTACAAGATGCAAAGATAAACACGAATTTTATCAAACTGATACAATTGATATTTCGTTAAAGGACCCATGTAAACAAGATTGTCTTATATTGAAGCCTTACCCAATGTTATCAAAAAGTGATACGTGAAGCTCCTAAATTGTCGTCATACGTATCTATTATTGAACTATTATTAACACTAATTTGTCATAAAAAGAAAACTAATTGAAAAATAAGAGAGGAATTGATGATTAAGCAATATTTTTAAAACTTTGCATGGGGCCTCAGAACCTCAAATATATCAGAGTATTAATTTCAGTCAATAAACAAAAACAGATTTTATTTGTATTTATCCGATGGATACTAAATATATATGGGGATAACCACACAAGATGATTTTGGTATGCACCACTAAAATCGTATCCGATCCATATGACGTGATATCGTCGGATACTATTAAAAAATTGAAAAAATGTATTTGAAAAAAATGTGAAAAAAACTTTTGAAAATTAATTTGGAAAAAAAAATTTTTAATGAAAAAAGAGTTGGAAAAATCTAATAACCACTTGTCTGTTTGACAGTATAGTTTCAAGGTTATGCGCTCAGTAAAAATGAGTTACATTATTGCATGCAATAATTTTGTAGAAATAAGATCAAAGAAAATAAAATGAAAAAATTTGAATTAGAAAGCAACAACTTTTAGTCTATTCTCTATATACAATTGTACAAGTACATTGTTAAATATGATTTAACTATCAGTACATATCTAATCACTAATTAAATATATTAAATATATAAACAGGAATAGAGCAGATTTTACAAACATATTTAAATAATGCATTTTCGTAGTATTTTGTAAGTCTTACCATTACGCTAAATACAAAACAATGACAAAAGAACCAGATATGAGTATAAAATACAATTACAAAAGATTGAAACATTGAAAGTAAAATTGAGTTACAGACACAAGTCAGGTACATAGTTTCCAACTGGTTTCATATAAAAGTTTCGTTGATGTTCTGATTGCATTATTAACCCATGCATATGTTCATATGCACTAACCATAACTCAAGTTTCCATCTGAACACGGTATACACACAGTGACATTATCGTGACATTATCGTGTCAATGTATCATCAATTAAAAATCCTTGTATGCCAAACTCTCAGGATTGATCCGTGTGTCGTTAATTCGATGTCGGTGAATTTTGACAATTGGAGTCATAGCATGGTTGTCATATGCTACAACTTGTGGCTCGGGTTTTTCCGGAATTGCCCCCGAACTCGCGGTAGTCTTCAATTCCATGGCGTCCACTGCTTTGCGTTTACGCCTCCTATTTGCAATAGCACCAAGGACCAGTATGGCAGCTAAGCATACGAGCAAGACGCCACATATGGCACCCACAACGACTGGGGTTGTTCCAGTATTCACAGGGGTATCTACGGTATTATCTGTAAAGAAAAATGCATGTGTAAATAATGCCGACATCCATCTAGCCTACACTTTTTAATTGAATTGAAACAAGTGCAGAAGTGTCCTGCGTGGTAATAAATTACTCACTCAATCTACAGAAAGTTACTTTAAGAAAAAATATTTGTATTTTACCTGTGTTTCCATCTGCGATTCCCTCTCCGAATACCTTCCAACCAACTTTAACAGTTGCGCTAGCACTATCAACTGCACGTTTTCTCCGATTGCCGCCTGACTTTGCTGGACAGGTCGTCTATAATATACGAGAATAATACTACAGGGTGGTCCAAAAATTGGGACACTCGTATTTCAAAAATAAATATTGATTTCATTTATCAAAACATGTCATAATATATACCAGTCGATAGGGAATCTACTAATCTTTAATTTGGTATATCATATGTTCAGATCTATTGTAATGTCTGTCAACCAGCGTCCATAATATAAATGACATCATTTTCGTTTCAAAACGGGTTTTCCAAACCAAGTTTTATTGTCAACTTTATTTACATAAACAGACCATTTTTTTCCACCATTTTGATCAATTATAGCCCTCAATTTTGGCCTAAACTGGTCAATCGGATAGCATCATTGATATGCTGTTGAGACAATTAATTTCACTTCTCAATAACTGTGCCATTAGGGACTGAACAGATGTAAAGGATTCATGGTACACCAATTCTGTTAGTTCTCCCAATTAGTGGTAGTCGAATCGAGTGTGGCGGAGGCAGTGATTGAGGGGGCGAATCTAGGCACATTTTCCTTTAAAGACTTGTGGGATCTATGGCTTGGAGCTCCATCTTGTTGGAAAATGTAATGGATGATAAAAACAACATAATTGGATCATCCGGTGTCAACTCTTGCGACTACCACGCATTGGGAGAACTAAAAGCATCAGTGTACCATGGACCCCTCCCATCTAGCCATTATAAAGAATAGAATTGTTGAGAAGTGGAATTCATTGTCTCAACAGCAGATTAATGATCCCTTGACCAGTTTAGGCCAAAATTGAGGGGTATAATTGATCAAAATGGTGGACATTTTGGACATCTGTTTATGTAAATAAAGTTGATAAAAACTGATTTTTGCAAGTTTTTGAAAACCTGTTTTGAAACGAAAATGACATAATTTATATTATGGACGCTGGTTGACAGATATTATAATAAATTTTCGATTTATGATATACCAAATGAAAGATAAGTGAATTCCCTATGCACCGGTATATTATATGACATGTTTTCATCAAGAAAATCAATATTTATTTTTTAAATATGAGTGTCCCATTTTTTGGACCACCCTGTATTATACTAGGTAGATGAAGTTTACTTTTAAAGAAGATAAATCGGGCTGCAAATATTTTTTCTTATTTATGAAGATGGTTAGTAATTGATAAGAACATTGACTTTACCATTTTACATTGTTCTTCATTCTTAGTGAGACACAGTTTTACGGTGCAATGAACATAACTAGACGTCCCTCTGCTTGGTTTAAACACTTCGATGGGACCTGTTTTCAAGTAATGAGTGGATCCCTCTATTCTTTTGAATGTATTTTCATTGGTGATATGATCTTGATTATCAGTTGGACACCTACAATGTCAAATAAACAATAAGGTATTCATCTGCTTTACTGAAATATGAAAGTGAAAAAAGTGAAATATGAAAGTGAAGTCCATGTCTATGATTGAAATCAAGACTCAATGAATTGTGGATGATTTAAGAAGAGTTTTAAGAATACATCAATTAAACACTTAAAAATGCTCACAAGAGTGTAACGTCGCATGTGCCGACTGGCAAACTGTCGATGCAGCATGTCGGTTGCAAAAATGGGTTACTACAACATGATATCACCATTTGTTAGTGGTGATATAAAAATAAATAACGCAAATGTATGTACCCATCTGTGATGACTGGAATAGTTACAGCCGATGTACTGGGCATTTCTGATTCACTTGAGATTGTACATCGCTCTACCTTCATAGATCCATAGGTACCTTTGAAAACAAAATAAAAAAAATTAAGGCAAAATATTTTACACTATCCCCCTTTTAAACAAAGAGTTGTCATAAAACTTCTAGTGATTCGGCACAGTGCGAGAGTGAGATAGCAGTCACGATCAATGTGTTGAAAAAACGGATGTTATCTAGGCTTGAATTTAAGAATTTTTTTGAAAATGATACTCAACGAACCATCATCAGCTAAAGACATTACTAGCTCAATGCTATCGCCAAGTCGAAGAGCTACTCCCGTTGGAATTTCTTGACCGAGGGCATTAACAACCGACAAGCGGATATCTGCTTCAAGATGATCGCCGTTGGAATTACCAGGCACTCTAAAATAAATACCACACATACATGAATCCAACTTATTAAATCATTTTTTCGAATTGAGATAACATGAAAGAAGCATAAATGCAAAATAATAAAAATTCAACTTTAAATTAAATAGTGATTATGGAATTATAATCAATGAATTATCTTAAGTTTTGCATTTGGAATTATTTTCAGTTTAAGCTGTACGTGCACATGCACGCATGTTGTACCCTATATATATAGTATTTATTTAGCCTACCCAAGGACTCCTATTCCTTCAAAAGACAACTGCTTTACGTCATCGAACGTGCAGTAAGTGCGGAAGGATATATCATTCGAATCTATTGAGTTTGGATTTCTTTGGACCACAATAAGAGTCTCATATTTCTTCAGTCCAGGCTAAAATAGATAAAACTCATTATATAGCTTTCTATAGGTCAGTCTGGATAATGATTTTAACTGACGGACTACTTTAGTAATTAGAGTCAATTGCAAACCCTTACTTCATTAAGAACTTTTATTCCACATCTAGCCAGGTCTACATCTTTGATAGAAATCTTTAAAAGTTGATTCCCATCTTCGCATTCGTCACCTCCAGATGCTGGTATAGCCAAGCATTCTATTGTCTTGTAGCCATAAGGATACATCGTTGCTCCTACCGAGGCTCCTCCGGAGAAATCAATTCCTTCATGGGGCTTGTAACATACACTCATGCTGTCCCTCGTACACTTTACACTGACTGCAAGGTCAACATACAGACTGATATACTATAGTTCGGATCAAATGGTTTGTCGCATAGGCCCGGAAACATGTATAAAAATTGAGTATGAGTCCCCTCAGAACATATCCTCTTCGCTGCCAAACAGCAGCTATTGAATGAAGTGAAATATTCTTGGACCAATAATGCCTAAGAAAGGGGATTGAGACTCGATTTTTATATGCACTATCCCGGCACATGGTTTGTCGTTTGTCCTCAAAATTTTTATCTGACTTCTTTTTAGTTACGTGGGTGGTAGAGCGAATTGAGACAACAATCCTCGGGACAAAATATCTTTAGCACTTTCCTTGCACTTGAAAATACATTTGGTATATTCTTTAATATAAACTAAACCGTAAGAGATCATGGGTAAACAGATATACCGTGAGATATCGTGCAGTCATCTCCGGACCTTGACGAAGGACAAACACACCCATCTCGCTGCTCATCACCATCTGTATCGTAACACTGACCTAGGTTGTCTTCGCATTGACGGCAACTATCTCCAGTAATTTTCAGAGCTACAAATAAAACACATGAAAAGGTATGTCATCATTCCAAATATCAAAGCATATGATCTAGTTTTCACTTATGCAATGTCATCTTAAAAACGACCTTTATAGAATAACGTCCTATTGCTTTCTTACCGCATTGATATGTGCCATTATCAGCTTTTACAGCTAGGTACTCCTCTTTGCAAATACATCGATTGACACTACTACCCCAGCCGTCATCTTTACATAATGAATTTGTGTCATCACAAAAACTCAACTTTTCATCACATATCTTCCCAACAAATGTTCTCCTCTCTACAACATAGATTTATAAAGCCATAATAAACATACCGTATGTCGCATCGGGGTGCATTTATTCTATTTTTCATTTCATGAGAAAAATAATATACTTGGACAAGATTTTAGTAAAACATTGGAACGGTGAAAGTATCAGAAGTAAGAAAATAATCAAATATAAAATATTTAACCAAATTGGGAAAACTAAATGAAAATGAGTTATTTTTCATAATATGGACTTTAAAGGAGGTGCTAGATAAAAACAATTGACAATCTCCTTATCATATTAGAAAATCATTAAGGGACAGACTGAAGATTTAATTCAAGTAATAACATTTGAGACACCTGGTATTGGCTATTGGGAATAAGTTATCATTTTAAGTGTGTCTAATAGATACAAAAGAATATCAGTTGACGAGAATCCCAGTAAGAATCAATATAGCAATACTTACTACACACAATGACACCAGCCTCGTCCTTTGAAAACCAAAGGTTTACCTCATCACACTCGCAGGAATCAGAACCAGAGCTAGTTATATCCCCACACTTTGCGAAAGAGTCAGTACAGTAAGAAGTATTCTTATCACACGCCTCACCAACAAGTTTAGGTTGTTCTAGAGACCATAAAATAAGACAATGGAATTCAAGATCAGCCAGAAAGTATACACCCAACAACCATTACATATACACACGGATTTTAGGCCAATATAAAGATGGCAGCACTGTACTTCATATGTTAAACATCAACGAAGCAACGTGCACATGTGTTGATTGTACTGCCATCTTTTTATGATCATTACGTCTATCTCCCGTTAGCCTATTTGGGTATTCGAGATCACATGCAGACAAAACGAAATATGGCACGCAATCACAATAAAAACAATCATAAGTAACATCATATAAGTCCGACTTCAATATTTCATTTCAAATTCAGAAATGTTACTGAAACTAAGCAGCCAGCCCTCTCAAAACAACCAGGTTGTTAGATGTAACCCAAAGCTTTGGAAAACCAAGTGAGATCTCCTGTTTAAGAACCCTTATTCTAAACTATTAGAATTGACGATTTAGATATGCCCAGTAACATGTTTCTACTGGTTGGGGCTGAGAAAATTGTGAACGGTGTATTTTAAGTGCTTTTAAAATGCTATTTCTAAATATCCAATAGACTAACAATATTGCGTAATATGAAGTATAAAATATAAACATAAAAAAGGCTCTCATTAATTTCATGTTTTATCTAGTCTGTATCTGATATTTTTTAAACGTATATCTTTTGTTCGAAGCCTTGACCTTTTCGATATGATGATATCCTGATAGAACCTTGCTGAAATCCTCATTATCTCAGAAGAACATTGGATGAGTCATAAACAGAAAAATTATGTTACTTGGTAATATGACTTTGTTATCAATTCTAAATGGTTAAAACTGGGGGTTTAGATCTTAAATAGGAGATTTTAGCCTAACCGAGATCTTTCTGAAAAGTTTGATAGCCTCTACTCACTACTGTATGTAAGACTTACGACACTTTTTGGCAGCAGGCCTCCATTCCCATGAATTTGCACTGTCACATACACATTTAGCATTTACTGAGTCACATAAAGCATTGTCATTGACACAGTAGTCAAAGGGTGCATTGCCAGTGTCACATGCTTCACCATGCTGCTTTGGTACCTCTAATAAACAAAGAAGATAATATTATTATAACGACGATATATAACATTAGAGAGATTTCGTAACTCACTTATTATAACTCACGTCATTCCCGATAACATTCGACATAGTTCTAGAGTTATGGAGATTTCGCAACTCACTTATAGCATATTTATTATTCCCGTATAATAAACATGATGTTAGGGAGATTTCGCAACTCACTTATAGCATATTTATTATTTCCGTATAATAAACATGCTATAAGTGAGTTGCGAAATCTCCCTAATGTGTTTGAGGAGTAGCGCACAGTTTGAGCACAACTTTGGACTATAATTTATATACACTTTTGAGAAGTTATAAATCTTGTTCTCTCATTCAGAAATTCTCAGAGCATTTCAAGAACACAATTGCAAATAATTTTCATGCTTTCTTGTCAAATTTCTTACGACAAAGAAATCCTCCTTGGCCGTCTGCTCTTTGATCCCATCCATCGTTACATAGACATTTTGATGTGCCCGTTCCATCATCTGAACACGATGAGTTACCATCGACACAATATGATGTAACTGTGTTACATTCAGTTCCAACTGCCTTATCTTCCTCTGAAAAAAATCGGAAAACGCCATGTACCATTACTTGTCGCTAGAAATAACAAGAGAGTAATATCTGCTCTCTGCTGTAGCCTTAGGGTATCATTAGCAAGTTGTATCAATATGTAAGAGATCGGTTACATATTTATGTGAGAATTGACAAATTCAAAACTGCATGTCACAAAAAAATCCAACATTAGAACTGCGCAATGAGTCCTTCATACGTCATAGCATTTGTGCATGCTATCAGGTGATACAATCTGTCAATCAGTTTTTAGTCTCAAAAACAGCTTATCTGTGTGTCAGGTTTATTGAATTGGTTCACTAGTGTTCTCTGTTTCCATATTACGTTTCATTACGTTTTATTCCAAAATTTCAGTTTGGAGGGATGGACAAAAAAAGACTTTTAAGCGATAAGCGATGAGGCAACTATTGAAAACTGTTTCAAGGTGAACGGTTTGGGTGGAATATGAATCATCAAGGAATTATGGGCAAGAATTACAGTCATTTTACTATAAATAGACTTATGAACAAAATTGCATAAAATCCAATAGGCATATATTAAAGGACGGAATGATTGTGTCATGGGATGGAAAAATATACAAAACCATTTCTGCTTGAAAACAGCTTCTTTCAGACTTAAGTAATGATTTTCCATTTATTGGCATGTTTTGATATCTTCTAATATTTTGACATGGTGGGTGTTTTTGATTTGAGAACACTCGCATAATATGCAACCCATCTCTTACATATCTATAGCACTTGCTAATGATACACTATAGTTCCTTAGTAAAAATTTTCAAATAATTAGGCTCATCTACAGCTGAGAGAATACTTGACAAAAAGCGATTCACTTTTTGGGACACCCGATATATATGAAATCCAAGCAATGATCCATGTCAAAGCAAGCAGATCTGCATCAGAGTAACAATACAGGATTATCAGAAGTATTGTTATTTAATTTACCCTTTGATATAAAGTTTGAGCAATCGTCTTATACACTTACTGCATATGCTATTTCTGTTCACCCAATCAGCATTGCATACACATGCTGTACCGTCACAGTTACTATTGGCATCAACGCAGAATGTGGTGGCCGCATCTGAACAATTCCCTCCAGCTACCACTCTCAACTCTGATAAAACGATATTCAGTTGCATGAAGACAGGTCCGGATTTAAATTTTGAATTTTTCGTTTGCTGTATGTTTTACTAGATGTAGTTTGCTTCTTGCACTGTTTATTTTCAGTCGTATATTTCATCGAGTTTTATATTATATGTGTTTTTCTGCGTTATTACCCGTGGCTTTTCGACTGTGATACTATCACTATGCTACATTAGGCCTGTACCCAGGTGGTGTTCGGGTGGTTCGAGCCCTCCCTGGTCAAATTGATCTTTACTATTTTAAGCACTTTTCGAGTGATTTTGGATCGAAATTGTCAAATTTGAACCCCGGGATATTTCTAAAAAAAATCCCCGCCCCTTTGGCAAAATCTGGCTACGGGCCTGTACATTATCGCAATTATAATTTCGGATGCTACACTTACTGCAAACATCGTCTTTAGGTTCGTATTGTGTGTTACATTCACAGGTGTTCTGGTTGTCACAGTTGCTGTTCGCATCAACACAAAACGTTGTAGTATCTGAACAATCTCCTCCGATGGCAACACTCCTCTCTGGTGGATAAATAAGTCACTGATCAATGCATGTTACTATAGGTAAACCTAGGAATAGGTAAACCTAGGATTCTTCATCCTAGGTAAAACCTGAGACCATGATCATGTTAGTCTCCCGGGGTAAGTCTCAGGGAAAACCGAGCATTATCCTCCTAGAGTAGAGAAACGCTCTCTTTTAAGTACGAAACTCTTTTTACAAAGGCTTAAATAAAAAGGTCATAGTCTCGGAATATCGTCTCATGACGAGTCCTAGTTGAATTGAAAAGTATAAAATCAAGGTGTAGGCTATACTTACTACATACGCCCTCTTTGTTTTCATAATCGGCATTGCAGGCACATTTTGAAGATGTGCCATCACAGTTGGAATTGGGATCAGAACAGAACGTAGTGGTGGGATCAGAGCAGTCCCCGTCAATATCAACTTTTAATTCTGAAGTTAACACAAAAGGGGCAATATTGGATAGTTGGATAACTCAACGGTTGATGTGTTAAATTAGTTCATCTGTTCCGATGTTTTTTTGTTGTTTTTATGATGATTTTGAAGAACTTTTTGTTTATGTCTCTGATTTGATGATCTTAAAATCTTAACTTTTTGTTTCTAAAATGGCGGGAAAGTCATCAATTTATAAAAGTTAAAAAATTTCAAGTTTAGTTTTTTAAATCATGAAAAATGATACTTGAATGACTAAACTATATTTCAAACTTAACACGGGTCCTTTAAGATTTATACAAAGAATACTTATGAACAACAAAATACAACTTTCAAGTGTTCAGCCATTTCGTATCCGGAATCATTACCAGTTTATAAATATTACTTACTACAAGCGTCGTCTCGTAACCCAAAGCCATTAGCCTCATCACACACACATACTCCATTGCCATCATCTACGTAATTTCCAGCAGCATCACATGCACATCCACCATTTCCATCATCTGCGAAATTTTTCGCTGCATCACAAACGCAAAGGTCGCCTCCATCGGAGACAAATTGATTTGCTGCATCACAAACGCATCCACCATTTGAATCGTCAATAAAATGGCCGACCCTATCACAAACACACACCGAGTTTATATCACACAGTGAGCCTTGTACTGTGCCTGTGCAAGCGGCGTCATCTATGCATGTCTCGCCAAGTCCAACTAATAAAAAATACAAAAGTACAGTCAATATTCTTCATAGCAAAATGCATGTAACTGTTAAACACATTGATCCATTGCTATATTGTGATCCACAGCCTATACTATCCCTTGTACTGGCTAGAAACATGTTTTGTATTGTGATACAACCATGAGATAAATAGTTCTCTGATAAATCATTATGAGGCAATACTAAACAATCAAGAACTAGACCCTCCAAGTTTCAACATGACATGGTGTTTGATATGCTTACACAATTTCCAATCAACACTAGAATAAACATGTTGATTCATTAACATTTCAATTTATTAACAAATATCGATAATACGATTTGCACAGATGGAGCAATGCTGTTCTTGAAAGAAACACACTTTTACTTGCAGTGAATCAAAGTTCGATACAGTACGGTTTTGTAATTGGCACGACCTTTAGGGTGTTCGCCTCATACACATAATCCACTAACTAGTTCAAATTCGTCAATAATCAAATAAAAACATGTTTGTACGATTATTTTGTAATCTTTGAATACATCATCGTCTGATATTCATTTTATTTCCTAATCACGAAATTAATTTCTTCATCCAAGCTCCAGTCGATTTTTGAAATTCGTTTTATGAAGGGGCACTTGTCTCTCACTTGTATGTGAAGTAAAATCTTAAATACAAGACTCCATTCTGGAGAATTGGTATTCTATAAAGCCTGGTGTATTAAAACACTTGGAATGGACTAAAGGCAAATCCTTATTTTTGATATTTAATAAAGGAAAATGGAAAACGTCATTTTTGTCATAATAGCTAACGCCAATGAATAGCGTATACTAGTATGTGTAAGTTAAGTGAGTACTACTTTATGGACTACTTTATGGGGACTGCAACTCAAGCATACTCATTTGTAAAATGGTGAGAGTTGTTTAATTTACATTTGCCCATTATCCCCTAGTAAAACTGGAAATAACTGGGGTAAAACTGGTTATGGAGAAAGATGAAGATATCAGAGGACATTGGCTTTAGACCAGCAGCTTTTATAAAATAAGATATTATTGTTTATGATAAACATTATGATGTTTAATTACACCTGCATTAGAAATATTCCTGGGCCGATTATCTATGTCTATCACAGCTTTATCTCACATAGCAATAATTATATTGGTTGGTTAGTTCTGAAAACACTGTAATAAATTGAATCAAAACATATTGATGACTTCAGTAAAGGTCATTCGAGATGCAAGATCATGTTTTGAATTTTTAGGTTTTTCGACATATTTTTTCATTTGACAAAACATTTTTCATGCATTTCACTCGGCCTTTCACGACCTTCTATCAATTTGCTTCCAAGAATCTATGAGTTTGTTCATGGCAACTTTTCAGACCCATTTAAGCTTGGTGGAAGGATGAGGCCAATTCAATGCAAATCAATAACAAGAATCAAGTAACAATGAATGACATGGGTCAAATCTAGCAAATAACTAAATCTCCACTAATAGGATAGTTTAAAAAGACTTAGAGAGGCTCTGATATATGGAGATATTTCATCTAATTAGTCTAATGCTTTAAATGGCACAGTCCTTAGTTTGAAACTTACGTAATGTATCCAATACAACAAACTCGCGTACATTGGAGTAAGCACACCCTATTACACAGGGGCCAGCTTCATCAACATTGGGCAGTATCAGTATCTAAATGTGACAGCCCTTAGTTTTACACTAATGTAATGTAGTCATTACAGTACTCCAATGTACACCGATTTGTTGTCTTGACTACAGTACGTTGGTGCCAAACTAAGGAATGTCACACTTAGATAGTGATACTGCCCAATATTGCTGAAGTTGGCCCTTGTGTAATAGGGTGTGCTTACTCCAATGTACACCGGTTTGTTGTATTGACTTAACATTAAATTCGTATCAACTGACAGCATTTTTACATGATATTTATATTCGTTTCGCAAACACATACACGGACACAGATACTTTTAAGGACTTGTAATTTAAGTTTCTACAACTGACCGTATGATGATACCATTCAATTATGGTACACATAATTTAAGAAACCATAGTAATTACCATATTACTAAGTTAAGCTAAGTTTCTTGTAAAGAAATATTTCTAGACGTTTGTATTGTGAAATTGAGCACATTGTGTCATTTGGTAACTATATACAGGGTGGTCCAAAAAAGTGAACCCCTGCAACGGGCTATATTTTCCTTTTTACCAGCAAGAATTTTTTCATAGTTCACATGTTGTAGAGGATGGTCTAAAATTCTTGTTGGTACCATACATTCTTCTTAAGTCTTGAAATTTGCAGAAATTTTAACCTCAAATTTAAACGTCACTGAAAATGGATAAAATGTTACTGCGATTCTTCAACCCTTCAACTATCTTAGCCGCAGTCTGAAAAACCTAATGTTTTCTGACTTTGTTTGGTTTTGAATCTCGCACATTATTGTGTAAAAATTAGCATCCTACCTCCGTTAGTTGCAAAGTTATTGTGATCCGTAGAAATGTTCTAAGTTTCCAAAGACGAAAACATCTTAAGTGAAATCACAACATGGCCCCATATGATATTAATGTCAATATCTTCATTAACCATGGACCAATTCTAATGCAATATGACTCAAAGCTTTCACTGAAAGTTTTTTTCAGATCATCCAATATGTTTCAACAATTCCCGTGCTTCACATTGGTAACATTTTGCACAATAACTAATTTTAGGAATGTTTGCTTAAGTCTTGTAATTTCTACAAAATTCAAGGCTGAGAATGAATTATGGCATCAACAAAAATTTCTTACAATATGTGATAACATGAGCCAATACATGCATGTTTTAAGGAAAATACAACCTGTTGAAGCAGTTCACTTTTTTGGACCACCCTGTACAATATCCACTTTGGAGGAAAGTTTTGCCTCTCCCACTTAAATTTGCCTCCCCTGGTTTTGAATCCTAACTACGGCCAATGGCAATGATAACAACAAAGTGCGTAGTGAATACAAACCTGAACTGACTGAGTCCACAAGAAAAAGAACTGCAAGTAAAAAAGACAACAGCGTGTGCACATGGCTAAACACTTCCATGATAATCTATAATAATCCAGTCAGTCTTTATCCAATTTAACACGTGTTATCACTTTAAAGTAATTCTACTTAAAATTGTTTTTATATGATAAGTATTTATATCGCTATAAAGCGCTTCAGATTTGTCCTCCTTAAGGTGAAGTCCGTTAATATGTTTATTCTATCCAACGGAATGCAAATGTGTTTTGAATTTATAATTACAATTCCCACGTAATTTAAAAATTTATTCCAGTGCTTCATAATGAAATTAAATCAATAGTTGTATTCGATTCTCTAGGTCTGACTCAGCCATGCTATCATATCGCTTGTTACCACCCAATGTTGAGAGAGAAATGCCATTTTAAAACAGCTGCGGCAATGGATTATTGATTCAATTCAATTATAATGTTTAAAACCATGAATCATTCCATTCTAAGATAAGAGTATAAACGTTTTATCTGCGTACTTATTTACATGTTTTCACGTTTTAATTCATTCAAAACATCATAATATTATTTTAGGTTTAGTTTTATGTTTTGACCAGACAATTCAGCCGGTCGTAAACCCTTTGCATTGTTCTAAATATCTATTCATAGGCCGTTACCAGACGAACTCTTTGCATATCAGTCTATTCAAGCTTGACCAATGACCAGACTATTCGACCGCTATTCACTCCTGGTCAGACCTTTCAACGTAAACCCTTCGCATACCAATCTACAATCTGTATTTTATTGACAATGAAGTGTTTTTGAAAAAAGCCTGTCAAAATCATAAAATTGGAAATTTTGAAAAAATATTTATTTTCCATGTTGGAAATTGTCTGTAGAATAAATCTTGAAAATTTCAATAAGAATGGTTGTTTCATTGCAAATATAGAGTAGAAACATGACTGCATCATTCAACCTGTCCGGGGTACTAAGGAAACATTGTAAAACGATCAAAGGCCACCGAGTAAAATCCCACCTACCTCTCTCTGGATCGAAAACGGAGGTCTGCGTCCTGTATCTCCAGTTGTACCAGACGAAAATACTGGACGCTTTTCTACCCCCTGTTTAGAGGGTTTTAGCACACCCGGGCAGTAGTATACAAATGCTGCTATCTTTAAATGCATTTTGCTATTTCATAGCCATTATCATAGTAAATGAACATGTAGTTTTTCAGTTTTGAAAAAGTATTTTGCTATCAAGTGCTGGACAATGACTACTAATAGAGTCATCTTCAGATGTATATATGTTTCTAAATCAAAAATGATGGATGGATAGGGAGGCCCTTTTGAAGGCCAAGTAAAGGTCAACTCAAATTTCAATTTGAACTCTTGCCAATCTGAAGCTTAAAGAAGATGTGTTCAGTTTGAAGAAATTTATGATGTGACCTTGAAAAATTTCGAAATTTGACCTTTTCTCAATTTTCATTGATTATATCTCGAAACTTATTAATATGTTAAATATGTGAAAAACTTTGAGAGGAATATCTATCATATTACTGTCGTATCAAACTTTAAGAAACTCATACAACATTGGTTACCTACAATAGAATCTGGAACAATAACACAGACGCTTATAGCGAGATCCTCAACCCTGAAGAAGTACAATACACAGTGCGTATTTATTTTTTATATCTTTATTGAAATTTTATACTATAACAAACAACAAGAATAACATCTATAATTCAATAAATAATATATGGTGATCATGTGATATTTACACAAATATTTGAATAGCAAGTCAACCCATGGCGATTCTGATTTATCAGAGTCTCACTTTATCTTACACCAGTATTCCAAAGGATAATACTTGTTGTCGACCCCGTGTAATGAAGTCAACCAACATTACAATTTCCTCGAAGACAGTCAATAGATGGCATACAATTTAATGGACTTCATTATAAATATTATTCAGCAATATAAGATTGATTTTAAGTTGTTGTTTTTTATTATAAGTTTGTTTAATTTGTTCTTCCTTGCTGCAAGGGTATTTCATACTTACTATAATTTAAGCATAAATGAAGGCCTTTGAAAAAGGATCAGATTGTTAACAAACTCCATGCTGTCCATTCTGATACTCATATCATCTTTCTATTTTACCCTGAGAAGATTTGAGATGTCATGGTTTATCATGATGCATGTTGTCCATTATTATAGTTTAAGAGTAACGTTTAAATGTAAACTAATGGAACGAGTAACTTCGGAAGAACAACCTATTCTTGATCTGCATCTAAATAAGTATTCCACCCTGTTGTAAATGGAATGTTTGGCAAATGTATATATATATAAACAAATAACAGTTTCAATTGCACAATTTATATGAAAATATTGAGAAACCTCAAATGGAGACATTTGAAAAATGATAAGCACTCGTGAATATCATCTTATAAATTCAACCAAGGAGTTTGTCAAATGTTATTAATTGACGTCATACCCATGTCATAACCACAATGCACTTTGTTCGTAACAAAATCACTTGATAAGTGGATGGCATATGATAACTAACAGACTAAGGGAATGATTTTGGAAGAAACGTTTCGTGACTTTCAACGGGTAAATGTTTATCTTCTAAGTGTGTCCTTTGGTGGGTGTTCAGAGTGCTGGCCAGTGTGAAAGCCTTGCCGCAGTCATCACATTTGTGTCGTCTTTCACCTGTAAGTAAAATGAATTATGGATATGTAACATAGATTGTGAAATGTTTTACATATGACGATAGACACAAAATGGATAATTCTTAATAGAAATGGAATATAACTCGTTGGTGCTTGTCTTTTTGTTCTCGAAGGTCGTTTTTAGTTGATGTGTTTGTTGACGTACTCATGTGCTCCCCCTCCCTACCCCACAGTATGTAACCATACTGGCCTAATGACTTTTAAAACAGATGATTTATTTTAAGTATCCATGGAAGAGTCCAAGATCTATCAGTCATGCAATCATTATGCCTTACCTGTATGTCCAAACACATGTGCTTGTAGGTTTCCTTTCTGATTAAATCCTTTTCCACAGTCCTCGCAGTGGTACATTTTGTCATCAGAGTGCGTACGCATGTGGTAGGTTAGATGCGTAAGTTGCTTGAAACCTCTCCCACAAAGACGGCATTTGTGTGGCTTTTCTCCTAATAAAATAAATGCATATGAATAACATAATGAACATATTTAATCTGTATTTCTATGCACTTATATGTTCTATATCCTGTTAAAGGCCAAATATTATGGAACAGTATATGAAACAAGACATGAAGGGCTAACCTGTATGTGTGTAGGAATGGATCTTCATGTCAATCTTTTGATGGAACCCTTTGCCGCAAAATGGGCACATAAAAGGTTTGTAGTTGGTATGCGTGCGCATATGTGTGTGAAGATTTGAAGCTCTGTTGAACGCTTTGCCGCATGTGGAACAGACGTACGGTTTAACGGTGGTGTGGGTCAGACGGTGACGTGTCAGGTTCCCGGGTTGGCGGAACGCTCTGCCACAGATTTCGCACTTGAACGGTTTCTCCCCAGTGTGAATTCTCTGTAAATAAACCAAGCACATTTAATGTTTTAACAATACAATCTTAAAATACAATGGATCATCAAGTCCATTTGGCCAGCTCATAAATCCCATCACATTATATGTTATAATTGAAGTGACGTACATTGATGATTTGATATACGTTCTAAAAGCGCAGTGGTGTTTAATTTGAAAGCTCTTTGTGGCATTGTAATTAGTTTACCTCCATCCCCGACACGAATGTACAACTTTCTACACACTTTCTCTTGGTCAAGTATTGAATGAAAGGTGTCAATGAGAGTTTGCTAAACTGATGTAAACACGGGGAAAGTGCTCTTCACACTGACCCGACTACCGTGGAAGGAACAACACTGAGAAAACCAAACCAAATGCACACAAGACCTGGTGCAGAGCTCGAGCCTAACAATGCTGAAACTATTTGAGACAAAGCTTAAGAACTTATGTACACCAATAAGTGCGCCCTTTAATTTTCTGTTAGGATTTGAATAAATATACATTGGATCATTACCTTGTGTAGATTATGCTATTGTTACATATGCAAGGTGTGAGACAAAACGTGTTCTTAGCTTTAGCTCAAGCTTGATCTTACGCAACTGCGATAGTCTTTCGACGTGACATTTTATTAATCAGGATTATATCGATTGCAGACAAAGCTTACGGTTTTTGGTCAATAACAATCGTATTTAAATAATCAAAACCCATCTGCTATTTTGACCAATCAAAGAACTGCCATGATTTGAAAAATATCATCCATCGAAAAGGAAAAGATGGCTCGAAATATGGAAGTACAATATTTGAAAAAAAATCATCACAAAAAGTAAAAACCAAAAACCTTATCCTTCAATAAGTGGTAAAATGCGAACTGTGTCTTCGAAACCAAAATTAATGACAGCTCGTTTTGAAGATGACAAGTCGGAACTACAAGAGAATGACTATAATGCGACTGATACCGTTGCTGCAATACGATCATTGGGAAAGGTATTAGTCCAGTAAGGATAGACTGTTGACCAAGGCAATCAATGCGCGCACATCAACCAACGTGAATAAATATTGGAACTAGTTAATACTGCGTATTGACACAAAGCACGGCGGTAATTAGAAGAATAATTGATAAGGCGGAGCAATCAATTATTATATAATTCTGCTCGGTGAAATAACAAAGAAGTCCCTCAGAGAATATAAGCTTTGCAATTCAAAATGATGGCAATTTTCTATGAATTTTTTTCAATCTCTTGAAGTCTGAATAAAAACCAAGGACGTCACACCGATGCAATCAACTTCAACATCATTATCTCTGTTTTTATCGCTGCCATCATATGACTTATTCTGAATGAGGTTCATGCCCGGGGATTCATGTGCTTGTTTGTCATGTATTTTTGCTTTTCAATTAGAAATAGTATACACGTGCTTTTGTTTTCAAATGGGACAGTGCTAGTCTTTGGTATGTTGACTTTCTCACACATAATATTTACTATGTTCAATTCCAAGATATGAAGTTATGTTTTCATATTACAAGAGTTTGCGGTGATGAGGTATAGCCTAAATACTTATTTAAAAGAGTTGCATCCCAGTGTCCAAGGAATCATCTGGAGAAACAATAGTAACAGTGCCAACTTATTATGTTTCACTATAGTAACAGTCTAATGTATTGTTGGTCTTTTGTTGGTTTGAGCAGAGTGGTGCGGGGGAAGATAGAAGATGGTGTAAGCACAGCGTGTGGTTATCATGAAGTTTGTTACTACACATGGAGTTGTTAGTAAACGTGTGCTTGAAATAAATCAACAATACCATAAACAATGCTTCCATTAAAGACTCACCCCCGCTATAAAAGGCCTGAATCAGTTGAAAAAACATGGCTGAATTCAAAATTTAGACAAAATCTGAGCTCACTGACATTTTCCTCATTTTCTCTAGTTATAGAAACCCTATCACTCAATAAATTGTCACAGTTATCTATGAATATAGGAGGCATTGAAACATGTTAAATCCAGTCCAAGATATTATTTACTTTTGTAATTATTACTGTTTAATTTCTGATATTGGAACAACTGAGAAGGAGGAGCCTATTTTGAAATGAGCCAATCACAACAGGCGATCCGTGCATATTTAGAGGTCAACAAAAGCACATGGCCTAAAATATCTGCAGTAAATGAAGTATTATTGATATTAACTTACCCTGATCCTGGCTGAGGCATTTCAAGTGATGTGATCTTTATATATCCAACAGTGATAGTTAATCCAATTACATGCACATAGTCATGTTGTATTTATATGTTATTAATCTTGTAAATAATCTATGGAATGTGGTAAAGTATAAGTATATTGTATAATTAAAATATAGAATCCATCCATTTGTTCCAAATATTGTTTTTGTAATTAGTTGTGTAGTCCTTCAAAACTTTTCTTTGTTTGAAGGGATTCAGTGGATCATCAATTTCAGTAATGCTGGAATAATCACGGTCTACATTTTCATTCCAGTGGACGACAGCTAGATTAGTTCTTATTTCGAATTGTTGCTTTTTAAAGACAACACGCTTATCATGGAAAATATTCAACGTATTGTTGAAGCTCTCAACATAAAATGTGTCCATAGCTTCTGTATAATGTTCAGCGTGTCTATAAATTTCTGTTTTTTTAATTGATGATAATAATAATTGTTCTGCAATGGGTGAGGTGATTCTAATTTTCTCTAATCTGTAGTTGATATTTGTTTTACAGCTTGATATGGCATCGCAATTTAAATGGTTGTCCTTATAATGGTTTGGAATTTGCTCTAGTTTCATCCTGATTGTATTCGGATTCTTATCACAGTTTCGAATAACTTGCTGTGCTCTTTTTCGTGCCCCATCGGGTTTGTCTATGAGTTCCGAGTGCCACGTCTCGCCATCTTTATATTTGGGCCCCTTACAAACTTTGTTTATTTCACGACTGAATGACTTTGCCGCATGCCATGTGTCATTCTGGTTTAAAGTTTCCTTGCCACCAGGTCCTCTGTGCTCACGGATTATTTTATTGATTGTACCGTTGTTGTCATGGGCATGAATATTTATTTTAACTTGTTCAGCATCAAAAAATTCATACATCCGTTTAGTACCCAATGCCTCATGCTTTTGAGATGACATTTCATCTTCCTTTGAAACATGTTCAGAACGTATAACTCTGTGTTTGTTGTGGCCCAAACATATCACATCACAATCAAACGCATTTCTTCTACCACCATGTCGAGCATCCGTCATGATATTGATACCATTTGCCTCGACATCAGGATACGTCCCCTTTTCTTCATCTAAGGCAGCTTTGCAAGATTCTTTCATCGCTTCACTGATATGAGAAGATAATTCATTTGTATAAGTCTTCTCTTTTCTCCAACCTAGATGGCCCATACCGACTGCTTTAACAACATTCTCATATTGTGAAGGCAGTAGCCCACTTGTCAACTGTCCAAAGAAAAAACGAAGATTGACGTAAGCCTCGCTATTTGGTAAGTGGGGTGAGGAAGGCCATCTTACATAATGTTCGCTGACCTGGCATTTAAATGCAATTGTTGCTGCATGTCCATGTAATACTACTTCTTGCAACTGAAGTTCCGCTTGACATATTCTGCTATGATGTTCAACTAAACTTACAAGTTTTTTGACAGTTTTTTCAGTTGTAAAAAATATTGGTTGCTCAGTTTCATGTCTCTCTAGTGGTGTGTACCAAGACTCTGGCTCAAGATTGCCTTCAGATGATGCTGAAGTATGTGTGTTGCTACTTGCAGATGGCATATTGTGTGTTAGCCAATAGTCTAATGCTATTTCTATGGCATCTACATTGCCATTCAGGTGTAAAAACTTCTTTATTTTACTCGTTTTTCCAAGCAAAGTTTCCTTCTTCTCTTGACCTCCTGCACATTCAATTGAGAATCTTGAGGAACGCCCATGCTTTTCTCTATATTCCTTCTTTTTCTTAGCTTTACTTGCCATCATACAGTTTAGGATTGCTACAATGTGTGTCTTGCCTAGTAACTGTTAGTAAGATATGTGAAAAGGCACAAATGTAACAGTTGAAAACACATGGCAATTTAGGCAAAGGGTGTACCTTAGGGATGTGACAGTGTGGGAAATATATAACCATAATTATATTTATTTTAGTTATTAAGCTAGGGAGTGCAAAAATGATAAGCCATATTTTATTGTTGCATTATAACCACATTTCTTTTTTGTTCTTACTCAAATTCTAGCCATAATTTAATGATGAAAGTTCAGAAAAATAAAAAATCCAGGTAACTGTTTGCAACTTATGCCATGAGGCACATAAGTGGTACAGCCCCAATTAAAAATCTCAGAGGTCTAGGATTTGCCTGCTTTCACCACTTAGCTATAAAATTGAAAAATTGGGAAATTCAAGAGATTTTCTACATGCCTCATTGACAAAGTCAGGGAGTCATGTTTATTAATTATCAATCATGGTCACATCAATAGAAACCTAGATTTGGACCTTACAAGAGTTCATGTGGATGTACCATATCATGAACACAGGGGTGAACAAATTACACTCTTCCACATATGAAGATTATATGTTAGATTTCTGGTGACATTCAACATTTAATGTACCTTCCCGAGTGAGTATATCTGAGATTCCAGATGATGAATCCACCAGAGAGTATTTATTATTAAAACCTCCAAGAATTGGAGAAAGCCTTGGTTTTCCCATAGTAATATACATTTATCAAGCTGCATTTCACTGGTCTTTCAGATTCTAAAAACTAAATCTATGATCCAAGAAACAGTGTCATTTTATGTTTGAAGTTCAAGCAGTGAAATGGAAAGCAGAACTTACAGCTTGAAGATAAATGTAACTGAGGAACAGAGGTTAGTGATAGAATCCCTATATGATCACTATGACTGGAACTTTGACCCCATTGAGGACAGCTACAAGAACAGTAGGTTGAATAATACAGAAAAAACAGTAAATGTGAATAGAAGAAAAGCAGCAAAGAGGAAAACATCAGCTAGTATCTCTTCAGAAACAGTAGCAATTTGTTCTTTAGAAACAGTAGCCACTGATTCTTCAACAGAAGACGAAAGTCAAGCAAGTCAGTCAATCAGCATTTTGACTGGTATGATACCACAACATGTATCTACAGAGCCTCCGCAGCCTCCTAACAATGATTCCCCTAGTTCTAATGAAGAGTCACATGATTGTCCGCATTGTTTCTGGAACCCATGTGTTGTCAATGAAGCCAAGTATGAGCCATTTTGGAGGACAACAAATGCAACTCCATCATTGTCAAACATTATAACAAGGAGAAAACTGTACAAGGAATTTTGGAGAATGATAAACAATCTAGGACTATGGAGACATCCTAACTATTTAACCAAAAAGGCAGCTTCCAAAAGTAGTGACAGAAGTATAATATACCATAAAAGGGAGATAATGCCCACATGTGTTGTCACACAAGTGAGAGAATGGTTCCCGAATCCACCTGGCATTGAATATAAAGGACATGTTTACCAGTGAATGGATATAAGTTCAGCTAGACTTACACAATGAAATATTCTTATTCGGATTAATTAAATATAATAGTATACACATTAACTATAGTAACTACTATTTGGATTATATGCTCTTATAATATTGTTTAGTGGATTATTAAATGAGAAACCAATGCATATATATGTGAGTACAAAATTTTACTGCTATGTTATTGTTTACTATTTTGGTGGCCATTTTTAAAAATCTTGTTTTGAAGGCTGTGATTGGCTCAATCGGTGTGAATTTCTATTGGTTAATGAAAACTACTTTTTGATTGGATAACAGGACCCAGGGTCTTGGTTCTGTGTCTTTAAGACACACTTTCGAAATATCTATACCCATGTATCACATTACAGACTATTGTTCTATTATAATTTTAAACAAAAGACTGACTTTGCTTGTATTCAAAATGGAGTCTAGCAAAACTATAATCCCGTGGAATAACCAAATGATAGTGATGTAATAAAGGTATAATGTATAGATGCTAATTGCCCTGACTTAAGCCATTAAAACGATACACATCGAGCAGCAATTGATATGAATGGATTCGTCCATAAGTTATGGATATGAGCACAAACAGAATAAGTCCTATTGATCTACCATGAAAACAATGACTGACTAATTGCGATGGGGCAATGCAACTAGCCAAACGTAATGGCAATGATGTAACACAATGACTCAATATATCCTACTACATTCCCTTTATTAGCTACCTGAATTAACTTCAACTGTATATGGATTGGATCAAATCATGTGTTGCCATCCATTTCCCTCTCAAACATAAAGATTAGTACCTTGGTGCAAGAGTGAACTGTTCTAATGGTCTAGATCCATACAGAGTCATACGCTTTCTCAAAGTCTAGACATGTAACCCTCCAATTTTGCTAGATTTCATTATTGTATTTGCTTGGTTTTATTATTGTAATTTTAAACAAAAAAGATGAGAAAACGCTTTCTCAAAGTCTAGACATGTAACTCTACATTTTGCTAGATTTCATTATTGTATTTGCTTGGTTTTATTATTGTAATTTTGAAACAAGAAAAAGATTATAAAACGCTTTCTCAAAGTCAAGACTTGTATCTCTCCATTTTGCTAGATTTCATTATTGTATTTGCTTGGTTTTATTATTGTAATTTTGAAACAAAAAAAGATTAGAAAAAGTAAATCTAATCAAAAGCAATATCAGAAAACATAATTTTACACATATTCTAAACCATGATTTTACATCAAATCACCGGGACTGTGAACAGTTTCTTATGGTTTCTCTGAGAACGGGCTTGGCTCATTCGGCATCTGAAGATTAAAGGTTCCATTAAAACTGACCATTAGTGTTACATAATCTTATTTCAATAATGAAAACTCTTATTATTGAGGGGCAAAGCCGATCGCTTTATTTGACATCGTTCATATATTCCATTAATCTAATTCCATACACGTTGTTTTCATAAGTAAATCTAACGAATATTGCCTTCAACTATACGAATATAATTTAGCCAAATTAAGATATCAAATAAAATTTCATCCTCGAGGTATCTTAATTCCTGCATTAATTTTCTATTATGTTCATAATGTTTGGTGAATTATATGTTTATGCTGCAATGGTTTAACATATTTGCCATATGGATCTGTATTAAATTCAAAACGGTTGATTAATTTGAATTATGTCCAATAAGTAAGGTGTGCAAGAACACCGGACCAACAATAGCGTTTAGGAGTTACATATCCCAGATTATCAGGTCATAAATACTGCCTTTCACTACATCAAACATTGATAGCCTATTTACCTTATAGATCTTTTGAACAGTCGGTTTTAACTTTCCAATCTTGGTAAATGGCCTATGAACATATTTATAGAACCGCTGCGAAGCTTTTGTTACATCTAACTCCCATTTTAAATTCACACAATTCTTTAATTTTAATAGAATAAGCTGAAAAATTGTGGTCAGAGAAAGTGAATTAAGTAATTTTGAAAGTGTATGGAGTATGTACGATGTTTACGCACTTGAGTTGATTGACACAACTACCTTTTGAGCGATCGCTTCTGGCACTGCCTATGGAGATTTAAATCCTTCATAAACGAAATGTCATTTCAAGCCCCATTAAGAAAAGCAGAGAGATTGACTCCTACAGTGATCAAGTGCGTGAAATACACAGACAGTATACATATGAAAAATACAATCACCAAATATTAGCATATCGGTTTTATTTCCATTCTTTCGTTATTACATTTATGTGCATTCTGATTGTATTTTGACAATTGAATTGCGCGATTCCCAAAACAAACTGATCTCTTCACAATAGGACCTTCCCAATGGTAAACCTAAAAGGCTATAGTTATATCGGTTGCTACACTAGAATGCTTTATATTTTCATCTATTGCACTTCACAGTGGTTTGCGTTAGTCTAGATGAGATTAACGAACGTGGGAACATTTCTGAAGTGGTGGATGATGACTTACACCTGCGTAAAGCAGAGTTTGCGATAATTCACAATTTAATAAATAAGATTTGAAACCCCAAAACATACAGCTTAATGACAAAGAGATGTCAGATAAAACCACAAATCCAAAAACTCCATTATTTGCCAAAACATTGAATACGTCATGAACTGAGCATCTAGCTTAGAATGTATTAATTCACCATTGAAATATCAATTATAATTACCTTATGTGTGACGAGTGTATTACTTCTAGAGAAGGCTTTGCCGCAAACATCACACTTGTATTTCTTAACAGGAGCTGGCTTGTCATTCCCCGGCTCTTTTCGGATCCCTAAACCGAGGTGTTGTTGTCCCAGAAACCCAGCCATTCCTGCCAATCCTAATCCCATCTGCGGCATCATCCCTGGCAATCCCCCGGCAGGCATTACACCGAAAGGTGCCCCTGATGACATTGGTCCCAATGTGAATCTCGGGATACTAAGTAGTGGCAATGCTGGATGAAACATATTGGTGCTGGACGCGAGAACATGCGGAGGTGATGGAGACGCTGAGGGTTGAGAAACTTCTCTCTTGATCGAGTCTACCGAAGCAGGGGATTCCACATTAGAACTTGATACTGACGTTGAGGGTCCAGAACTCTCGGGTGGGGAAAGCTGGGAACTGCACCGACTAGACGATCGTTGGGCATCAAGAGCAAGGGAATCTCTTGGGCGAGGCATTGAAAGGTCTTCGGGTCGAGATACTTCTTGAGGGGCGAGCTTCATGAGATTTAGGTAATAATTGGTTAGAGGGATCCTTGGATCTTGAAAACCAGAGAATTTGAACATTGACTTTGACTCCAGGTACCTTTTATAGAGCTCTTGTTCTGGTATTAAACCAGGGGCATGCTTGAAAAAATCAGAAGAAATGTTTGGATGTGGCATAAAGTGATTGGACTGTACTGGCAGACCTGGGTTGAATACTGGGGTTGAGGGATGAACTCGCTGATTCTCCACTAAATCTTTATAAGGGCGGAATAAAGAATCCTTGGAACTTAGGGGTTTGGTTATTTTACTAAAAGCCGATGTTTCTGACGCGTGGAAATCTGATGGCGGTGTTGTTGATCTGTCGGGAGAGGGTGTTGGATCGTCGGTGGGGTCGCTGGTGCTATCAGCAGGACCTTGAATTGGGCCGTCAACTACGTCAACATCCATACCTACTAAAGAATAAATACCAAAATGACAACACGGTTTGTATATGTTGTATACATGCATTTAATTAAGGTGTGCCATTTCAAAACGAAAACAGGTGAAAATCGACGTCAGTGAGTCATTTTTACATAGCAATTTTAGGTTATCTGGATAAAATAAGTATCCCTCATTGCAAACTTCTTAGGATTCAACAAATACGTTGACGATCGGAAGAATTGAATAACCTGTTCGTAATACAAACAAAACACCAACTTCTTCAAATTACCTGCTTTGACATGCAAATAAAACATCAATTTAGTTTTGCTCAAAATTATAATTTACAAGCAATACTATTATATGAAAATAAATTGGATAAAGTCACCGCATCATCGGGGCAGGTGGACCGTTGTTGGGCCGTCTGCCCATCAATACCATAAGGAAATGCTATTAATTCTCTTTGAAAACATTGCGCAAGGCTTTGTAACATTTCACAGGCAAACCAGATGGCAACAGTCGACGTTTTAACATTTTAATATACTTTGATATAAATAATAATTTGATGGATTTGGTCCATAATTAAATCAATTCCTAATATTTGTATACGTTTATGAATGTAGTTTCCAAATGGCACGTTTCATTGGCAAAATATTCAGTATTCAAGAGTCCAGATCAATTTTGTTGAATTTTCTTTAAAGTTCGGAGATGTTTGAGTATTTTCTTTGGTTGTTTACAAATAGACTTTACCAATTTTTGTGACGAAATATTTGGAATCTAGAATGTAAGTTTGATTTAGCTGAAATCGAAGATTTTCGATGTCAAACGAACTTTGTTAACCCGCTCTAGTTTGTTTTATCCTGTTGTCAGGACTAGTGACATTTGTCAAGTTGATTGCCATGTAATCTAACTGCAAATTAACTGATTTTCTAAATTTCGGAACATTATTTTTGTAATTTTGAGGAATCGTTTACTTTATCTAGTATATTGACACTACATAAATCTACCATTTCCGAATTTAGCAAAATGATATCAACGACATGGAACACGAATAAAATCATCATGTTTCCAGTGCCCACTCTATCTTTTCAACACTTTACCATTTCATTAGTATTAATTGAAGACAATTGCATAACGGATGGATATCTATGTGTGTATCTCTTATGTCCTTCATTGTTGAAAAGTTGTGAGATCGCATTTCGTTAATTATCTCGGGAAGCGTGTCTGCAATCAACGCCAAACGTTATGTTATCAATGATGAGTCCATTCATTGTGTGAGACAAAACAATGCTAAAGAGGATATAATATCAACTGGACTTCACCATTTGTAACTGTTATGAGCCGATTATCTCGGCATGAAAGTTGTCTTCACACCCCACATTAACTGATAATCAATTACCAGAAAATATTAATTTCTAATTAGGATGAGCATGGTGTGCCTTTTTAGGTATTGATAATCCAAATCATCCATGTTTGTCGTTTAAAATACATCAAAATGATTTCTAAGACAAAATAAATGTTTAAAATCAAAACGATTTTAAGTCAAAAAAACTGAAATCAAAAATTGCATCGGGAATTTTTTCTGCCTTTATGAAAGTGATTGAAAATAATTTTAGCCAAACTTCGGCCTGTGAATTCATTGAAAAAATTCTGAAGATATCAATAAGTGTCGGTTACATTTTCAGATGATATAATCTTTAACAAATTGATAACATGTTTTATTTGAAATTAAATCAATTATCTCCCTTTGAACGACATATTTAATTAAATCCGCCCATAAGTCACGCAATATGAGAAGAAAATACAAATTAAATTAGCAGCTATCTCACCTGACTCTCGGTCGGTCTCTGTTTTAATCTGAGTGGCAGTTTCCGTGGCCATATGTTCCGAATTAGGGGATTCTTTCCGACACAGAAATACCCTGGGCATCCTTTATTCTGGTTCCCTGCAATTTTTTAAATCATCATCATAAGGTTTGTATTTACTCGGTGAAGTATTTGTGTTTTCGAAATCTCTTCACGCCCTTCTCGGCTTGTCAACGAGGTTTCAAGTTTTATTATACATAACTGTAATACAAATCCCATAAATCTCCGAATACTTTTACGTAACAACCATATCATTAAACTGGAACCATTTACCCAAAAGAAATTTAAGTTTTGACATTGTTAATATTATAGGTAATATTTTAGGGATAAGTACTAACCTTATGAGCCTTTCCTTGTTCAACAACTCTACTGGCCAGCCGATCATACAAAACCGCTTACAACTTGCCGTAAGCGCCTAACAAGATTTAAGATCTAGTAAAAAGCGCCTCTTGAGGGTGGTCAGTCACGGGGAGATAATACCCTGATCGCTGGTTTAAGTCCTAAAGCCACTATTGCTCGATTTTTCGCACTCTTTAATATACTTTTTATAATAATTTTATTGAACAATTTCGTGATGAAACCTCTAAACTTATTTTTCCAAAGAAATGTTCGTACGTTTTTGCATTTAATGTTTGTTGATAATGTTTAAAGTTTACACTTTAAATGTCTCTTCTGAATGACCAATATCAACTTGTGCGGTTCGCTCTGCTGATCCGTTGTCGTGCGCAGTTGATCCGAATCAGATGCTGTTGAAAAGCTTAGCTGGCTTATCCGGACAGGTGAGCCAAGGATTGGGCACAATTCAAACGGCTTTTGATTGGCTACTGGTCATTCTTGCTAATGACTATTTACCGATCAATCTCTAATGGAACTCAACGACCAATTCAAGAAACAATTTTGCTCTTTCAATATTAGGATGTTTGGTGACATACCCCGAGATAATAGACAAACAAGGTGACGGAATATTATTCCAACCATCTATGCTAGGGGGCGGGAGTAACTTGAATTTTTTATCTAATTGTTTTGCTCAAAATATTCAGATAGTGATATTCTTGATTGATTGAAGTATTCACCGTGACGGTGTTATAACGATTAATAGGTAAATATCATCGATGTGTGTTTTCAAAATTATAAAAGTATAGAAAGAACTAATGTATTTTATTTTAGTTATATTTGGACAGTTGGTAGGGACTCGTTCATGTGCTATTTAAAACTGTGCTATCGATGACGGCATCGTGGTAAGGTATGTTACATCCAATACAAGCATCATAACAAAGGAACCGCTAACTTAAACGTTTACCATTCATTTCCAGATCAATTCTAATATTTAACAACTTAGCATTGCTTTGTTCTTGATGAAATAAACCTGAATTTTGTTACACTTTTACAAATAAGTGAAATGCCATAGAAAGGTTTCCGGTATATTCAGCGTGTATTTTGATAGGCCCAATATTTAATTCAGTGGTCTCTTTTAGCAGCTGTATATGGTGTTGCGTGAATGGACAAACTAAGTGTACTACTCGGACCAGAAATAAACTTTCCATTGAACTTAGTATGTAATTCAACATTCATCCCGTGTAATTCAATAATGTAAATTATGTATTTTCTTTCGTTATTGTAGATACAGTGCAAGGTTGCCCATCTATTCCCTTCACCCTTCCCGACACAAGAACAGCAAAATATCACGAGTTCCTCTTGTAGTTTACAAACCCTTTCATATGATCAACTGCCCCAATGATATCAACTCTCACTGCAAAGCATTATTTGTACCCCATAACCCCCTCGATCCCGCCCCCAAAAGTAAAAATTTTCCCATGGTTATTTCCCATTCCGATCCTTTGAATATCATTATAATCTGTATTTATAACATGTAAATCGGCAATTCATTCGTTATAGATGTAGTTTTTGAGATTAAGTCTTTGATGTAAGGATTAACTTAATTATATATTTATAATATGTTAGGTAGGCCTTTACAGGAGTAAAACTGATGTAGCAGAAAACGATACCATAATTTATTTAAAAAGAACATTAAATGATTAATACGGTTTGCATCTTTACAAAAAAATCTATGAAATTAATGCAATGAAAAACTGCCCAATAATAACCAAAAAGTTGTGATAAAAGAAGAACAAAGGGCAAAGCAATTCTGCAACTGATCAATTCTTGTTAATGAAAGGCGTCTTATCCCAAAGCCATGGGGCTATATATACAAACATTACAAAATCTTTCCTTTCCATTATTCTTTTGTAAATACATTGAAATTCATAAGCTCTATTGATGAGGGTATTTAGACTGAAGCCATAACCGGATCAAAGCAAGGGAAATACGAAGTATTGAGCAAGAACCAATGAACGTGAACTTATTGTTCCGTTCTATGAAATTGCATAATTTCCCAGCCACTGGTCAAGAATGCCAATATCTTGCTGATCTGCCCCAGGTGTTTGGTGGAACTTCCAATATACCTTCAATTAACAATAAAAATGCATCTAACCCAAATGATTTTTAAATGATTTATTTAGATATATATGCTATCGCGCTGCCTGTTTTACAGCTGACATGTCTTTTTGAGTGTAATTTATATGTGGTCATTTATAAAGACGCGATTTCAACCTTACTCCTGAAAGGATGTGCTTTTCTTTGGAAAATACATAAACATGTTGAGATGAATGTTTGATCATTAGTCACATATAAGAAGTAATTATATTCATAATTCCTTTAGTTTTACCATTCCCGGTGTAAAAGGGTAGGAGGTCCTATCAAATTATGGTCCCTACTCTCAATTGATTTATATGGTGACCTCAATACAACTCTTTCCCTCATTATCTTATACGCAATCAGGGTCAGTAAGGACCGTTAAGAAAGGGGACCATAATCCCCGGGGGACCATCATTTCTTTCACACCGGCATTCCTGGCATCGTCGGATGTGCTGCGAGGAACAGCATTCTGATACTCATCACACCTTTCTGTTTGTCAACTATAAATAGTTTCTAGAAAGGAACTAATAGAAAAGATCTAATAGAAGGCCATGATTTCTATTGTATTGTATTGTATTGTATTGTATATCTTTATTGCCCATAATAAAATGGAGATACAATTTATATGTACAGTAATGTAAAATAAAAGTTCAAAATTATGACAAAATTATATACATGTTAGACTATTCAATGAGCAAAATGCTCGTACGGTTGAGTCAGGCACTGCAAGTGTCTCAAACACAGTCACTGTTAGACCGCGCTTTATATTGTTTGAAAATAATTTGTGCTATCTCTTTTAAGAGAACAATTGCATTTGGATTTGGCACAACATTTATCCCAAGAATTGTATTGAACGAAAACTCGAAATTGTGCTTACTAAAACATTCCTTAAGTTCTTGCCTGTATATGGAGTATTGTGCGGCAGAGCAATGCATTAAGAAATGTTGAACCGTCTTGATGAAGGAGCATAGAAAATATCATAAAAAGGTATCTATTTTCGAAATGAATAAATGAACGCTTGATTAGTTAATCCATTATCCAAGTGGACTAGCTCTTGTAAGTGCAAACATGCAAATATTTCACGGACTTTACCTTCATCCCCCAATTTTATAATTTTAGGCAACGATCAATTGCAAGTCGTTATGTCATGGTAAGTTAGTGACCAAGGCCTATTGGATCAGTCTTGGGTTCTCTAGTGGAACAATGAAATCACAAAATTCTTAATTAATCATTCAGTTATCAATGATTACCTGTCAAACTTCATACAGCCACTTGTTCTTCTGACAGTCATCATTACCCTTTGCATTCGTTCGACTTCACTTCTTAAAAGAGAGCTTTTTAGAAAGTGTCGATTTCGATATTTTTATCGAATTAAACCATCTTATAGTTGATGTTATGCTTTGATATTTGAACCAAATCTGGCTTATATGACATGGGAACTCTGGAGCTGTATGATAATTTATTCATATATCATTCGTGGGGACCACAGTTCAACGATATCTTCCACCGCTACCGACCCCCCCCCCCCCCCCTTCTGGATTTTCTCCCAGTTCTTCTCTGCCAATATAGCCGTAGTACCTATAGGTACAGAAAAAAGATCATTTTTGTGCAAACACCGAGGTGATAGGGGGTAATTTGGCTGAGTTAGGATGGTGGGAACTTGGGATTTTTTTCAGAAATTGCTTGAAAATCAGACCATCTCTATGGTTTCATAGAATAGAAATATAATCTGGTTCTTTTTACTTTCTTTTTAATATAGACCATATAGTTTATCAAATACCCTTTCAAAAAAGCCATATTACAAGGTAATCTGACTTTTGTTAACTGAGAGACGAAGTTTTCAATATTATATTGTGGTCCGCGACTCGCGTTTCGATCCAAATAATTTGAGTAAAAAATTGTTTCTTTCAAAAACCAGTGATCATATATCCATGACATTTTTTCTGGAAGGTCTTGAACATGTTTGTCAGATGTTTGCAAAATCATATAACCATGTCTTTATTTGTTTTGTACAATTTTTTTGTCTCCCCTACCCCAAGATTTCAAGTTATGTTTCGCAGCTATTTTTAGTCATTTTTCCAACTTAATATGCATATAATTTACAAACTTGAAAGTATATATTTATCAAAATATTACACAATTATTTGAAGTACATGTAGGTAAAAAACAAGTGGGTGAGTGTAAATTGTATTTGGTGTTTTAGTTGTGTGTTATTTATTTCAAAATATTTTTCACAAATCAGTAAATATATGGAGTCAAACATGTGATTATATGTAACATGCTATATTATAGCCAGGGGTATGTCCAGGGAGGTTACTTTTAAAAATATCTTATCTATTTAGTATCTTAGGTCTTGAGCTATGATTTGTCTCCCATTCCCCATTTTTTGATATTTCATTTCGTCAAATTTTCGACCAAACTACCTATCTCTGGATCTAGGAAAGGTATTTACCCACGGTTTTTGTCTTAAAAAAGTAGAAACTATGTACATCTATCACATTTAATACCTTTTTGGGTTTTAGAGCATTATAATGTTGTTTTTGACTGAAAAAAGTAAAAAACACGCGAAAAAGCTCACCCCTATGTTACCTTGACCTACTTTTGACCCCATTCGACCTACTTTTTGAGATTTTAATACACCCCCTCGAGAGTTTTGAATGACCTACAATATGGTACACTTTTTACTGTACCTCTTCAACTTTTGAAATGCCAGAGGGGGGTCATCCCCCCTCTCCCTTGTCCATTAATGTTATGAAAACTACGTTGTACACATTAAATACGTTTGACCTGTCAGAGGTCAACGATCGTTTTGGTTCATGTTGAATTGAATTGTTACGACTCATGTCGTCTTCCGATTGAAATAGATAATATCATCTAAGAAACAGATCTCCGCATATAAATAATTTACTCAAGCAAGTTGACGCTAATTACTAGCTTTGTTATCAGATAAAAGAGACGCTTTTGGGATGTAAAAGAACTAATTCAGAAATGGATAATTATTCCAGAATATTGCATAACAAGAGCCCTTAGATTGATATCCCATGTGATGTTACAATAACGAATATAAATTAATTTGCCTGACAGAATAGGTATAATCACGAACGTGTCCCTAAGGTAGGGTGTCAACTAGCAGTTCATCTCAAACATCTCATAACTTTCCATTCTGGTATGGCTTGCGTCTTTGTCCGCTAGTTTCATAGTTTTATTTTCTGTCAATAACAAAAAATAATCGGTAGTCTCTTGCCTCAAGACTGTGGACCGCCCCCCCCCCTTCCCTCCCCCTAT